TGTATTTTGCTGGCAGCCTTTGTACTTTCCCACCTAAAATGGGAGATGTTGGGGATCTTAAGCTACATCTGGTGGAGAGGGGCAATTTTATACTTTACTGGGCCACCTCAGCATGAATTTATCTAGTGTCCCCCCACAGGTCACCCAACCTAGCAAGACCAGCCTGGATTATTACAGGAACAGCACGGTGATGTCCCTCTATGCAAACCCCACCAATGATACGGAGCTCATGTGTGACAGAAGGCAGGTCTGGCAGTTTGCTCGAGCCTTCCTGCCTGTATTTTTCTGGCTCATCTTCTCTGTGGGCACAGTGGGAAATGCCTTGGTCGTTCTCATCTACTGCAAATACCGCTTCAGGAGGAGCATGATGGACCGCTACCTGCTGCACCTGGCCGTCGCAGATCTGCTCCTCCTTTTTACTCTCCCTTTCTGGGCCAAGGCTGCCTCCGACGGCTGGGTCTTTAGGAATTTCTTGTGCAAAGTCGTCAACAGCATGTACAAGATCAACTTCTACGGCTGCATCCTGTTCCTAACCTGCATCAGTTTTGACAGGTACATCACCATCGTCCAGGCAACGAAAGCTAAAACGTCCAAGCGGAGGCGGCTCCTGCACAACAAACTCGTGTGCTTGGCCGTCTGGCTGACGTCCATCGGCCTGTGCATCCCTGAGATCATGTACAGCCAAAGCAAGCAAGTCGGCGACATGACTGTATGCAAAATGATGTACCCGCCAAACGTCAGCATGGTCTTCAGGGTCGCTGTCCTGGCTCTGAAAGTCACGATAGGCTTCTTCCTCCCACTCCTGGTCATGGTTATTTGCTACACCCTGATCATCAACACCCTCCTCCAGGCTAAAAGATGCCAAAAGCAGAAGTCGCTGAAGATCATCACCATGATCATCACCGCCTTTCTCCTCTCTCAGTTCCCATACAACATCGTTTTGCTGGTCAAGACCATCAACACGTACACCGGGGTGGTGTACAGCTGCTGGGCCACCAACGGGCTGGACATTGGCCTGCAGGTCACCCAGAGCATCGCCTTCCTCCACAGCTGCCTCAACCCCTTCCTCTACGTCTTCGCCGGTGAGCGCTTCAGGACGGCACTGGCCCGGCTGGTGTGGAGGCCGAGGGGCCAGGAGCAGTGCTCCTCCGTGTGCGACAGCCAGGAGCACAGCTCCAACTGGTCCTTCGCCATGCTGGGGCGGCGGCGGGTGAGGAGCTCGCTCACCCTCAGCACCCATTTGACCTCCTCCATTGTTCCTGCCTCATGCCAAGTCTTCGTCTAAGCCAGTGCCGCCCGACGGGTACCAAGCACGGCCTTTCGGACACTGTTCCTGCACCCCAAAGACTGCCTCGGAGGAGGGCTGGACCTCCTAGGTCCATGCGAGCTGGTGCCAGTGGCAGCAAGGCCACCAAGGGCTCCTCACGCACCTCCTCCGTGCCGTGCCTGGACAGATCAGGCCTTGCCGCGCAGGGAAGTGAAACCTTCAACGCCATGCAGCAAGATGGAGCCGGACGTGCTGTGAGCAGAGCTGACAGAGGATCAGAGCCACCTTTGAGACAGCTCAAAGCACCCAGCCCACCTGTGGCTCCAACCACAGCCCAAAATAGCAAGCCCCTCAGGGAACCACAAGCCCGGCTGGAGCAGGACGAGCCTTCTTCCCAGCCATGGCGAGCGGCGGGAGGGAGCTGAGCCCTCGCAGAAGACCAGCTCCACATCAACTCGTTTGTCAGCCATTGCTTGGTTTCGGCATGTGGAGGCTGCTCCCTGTGCTCATGGACACAATTCTGCTCTGTGGGACTGGCGGCTCTTGTTGCAAAGGAAAGCTGATCCTCTGTGCTCATTACAGAATTAAATCCCCCTGCATTTTAGCTCTTTGATCTAGGGTGAAAGTGGGCTCAATTTATTTGCTGCAGCTTGTATTTCTCTGTATTGGCAAGCCATGACTCGCAATAAAAATTTAAGGCCACTGGATATATTGAGTTTTCTGTCCCTGAGAAAAAAAATGCTAGCAGCCAAACCCCAAACCCATGACTCAACAGCCTGCCCGTTATGAGCTGGTACCTTTGCTAGGGTGACAAAAGACATTTAACCCAAGACCAGTAAGACAGAGTTGTTAAGTTTCAAAGCTACTGTTAATGACATTTTGGTTGAGACGCTGTTCTTTGGGCTGGTAGAGGCAGAGGTTCGGATTTTGGATGAGCTGAGGATGGCACCATAAGGATGCAGGTACCCTGCTTGCCATCGCAATTCCCATCCCTGGCACCCCTGAGCATTGATTACTTATTTTAATCCTCAGGAGGCTTCCTTTTAAATAATCAATTTTAATCTTCAGCATTTGGTGACTATTTTCTTCAAGAAGAAATTGTTTGCATTGTGTATTAATCATTAAAGCGTCTTGGTGAACACCAGTTTTCTGCAAGGTCTGGCACTACTTTCCTAGCTAACACATTAAATCTGGGCAGACAGGGTTCTAGTCTCATATTATTATTTTTTTTTCCCCTTTGGGAAGGAAATGGTGAAAGACGCATGCATTTTTTTTATTATATGTGCTTGGTATTTTTGTGATCTATGTCGAGCTCAAGTCAAGTAGCAGCTGAAATTCCCTTCAACGGCACCATCACATACACTGAGGGGGTGAACGGGTGGTGTCTTTGCCTATGATGCCATACCAATTTCTCACCCATACACACAACCTGTTTCCATCCCTGTTTGAGAAGGAGCAAATAGCCTCCCCTATGTTTTTAATTCCCAGTAGGTTTGGAAAGCCTAAAACCAGAGGCACAACGCACGCTGAAGTACAATGATGCGCCCGTCTCCCCGCACAAAATGGGGGTGCAATGGCTTGGGGCATCCATGCTCCGACCCAGGGGCTCCTCGCTGCCCCGACAGGCGAGGGTGACAGCCCTGGCTGCCATGTCGAGCTGGGAGCTGCTCCCAAACCTCCTCTTTTGTACGGATTAATTGCCTCGGCACTCACATTAAGTCTTTTAAGCCATTTTTACCCTCCCCAAGATTTTTAAAAACTTCAAATACACACAGCAGATCACATAAAAAATCCCTCCTGAGCTTGCCCATCCACAGGGGGAAAGGGTGGAAAGGAGGACCTGGGAAATCACCCCTCTCCTGGCACTCCTCTCCATAGCAATTATTCAAGCAAGGAGACTTACCCCGCTCCCAAATACCTTCTGAACTGCCGTCCTCCCAAAAAGCAGGCGTGCAAACCCAACACCCGGCGGCCTCGAGCTGCGGGGTGGCGATGAGGCAGGGGCTCCTGGGGCAGCTGCGCTTCGACGTGCAGGTAGAAGCTGCGCCTTCGCTCGGCAAAAGCGTGGTGGGAAATTCTCATGCTCGGTCGGTGAGTGAAACTGCTGAGGCTGCTGACACGGCGGTGAACTTTCAGCGGGCTCGGGGCCGCCGGGTCATCCCCCGGTCACGTTGCGTCCTGCTCTGAGTCAGGCTGCTCCTGCTGGGGCTCGGTGCAGAGGTGGCTGCTCCTCAGGGACCTCCTCCCTGCCTTGTGTCCCCTCTCCCCACCCCGCAGCCAGACCCCAAAATTTTGCCGTGTGGCCCTGTCCTCACATTTTCACCCCACAGGCTGTGCCGTGCATCCTCTGCTCCTGGAGCAAGACATGTCACACTCCATCTACCAGGGTCCCTGGAGATGGGTTTGAGTGTTTTTGGCCGCTTTTTGAGGTGTTTTCCAAGTTCCTCCATGCTCTTGCAGCACGAGGTCACGCTGCAGCTTCACGCAGCGGGAGCTGCACGTTGCGGCGCGCCAGCCAGGCTGCGGTGCGGGGAGAGGAAGCGACAGGACATCCGTGAGAGACTTTCACTTTCTGCAGACAAAGCCACCAGACACACGGACGGGCTTTACTGGAACGCCTCTTCCAGAGAGCAGAAAAGCTGCAGAAAGGAGGGCGGTGGGCGCTGCAGCCACCACCAAGGTGCAGCGAGTGGAATTTCCAAACCTTGTGTATGGACTACACAGGGCGACACTTGAAGGACTAATATCGTCGTCTGGTGGCAGCCACGTGTTTTCACAAGGTCCACACAGCAGAATGTCGTGCTGGGCGTGCCAAGCCCAGTATTTGGGGCACAGGCAAGTTAAAACCCATATAAGACAGCATTAGGGCTGGGAGCGTCTTGGCCCTAGCACCAAGGAAGTCGTGTATTTGGTAGCGCAAACTGCACTTTTGCAGCTCTCTCGTGCTCCAGGCTAGGCGTCACCAAGACTTGATCGTAGGGCAGCCTCTGAGCGTGGTGCTCGGGGCTGCTGCTCCTGCTGGAGCGCAGGGACGGGAAGCGGCGCGGCCTCTCTCCCCCAGCAGAAAACTCCCGTGAGGACACAGAAACAAGCAGCACCTGAAGAAAGCTGCGATGAGTGATCGTGACAGGCCTGGTGTGCTCCTGACCGCATTCAGATGGCCCCCGCAGGTCGGGTTAGCCTACGTGTTTAACACATTGTGGGGCTGGGTCTACAGATGCAAACAGATTTTTTTTTTCCCACCTCCTTCAAGACACGGAGCAGAGGTGACATGTGAAGAGCACCTCTGACTCACACAGCATTTCTTTCCCTCCCACAGCCATTCAGCATAAACACAGCCTTATTTTCTAACATTTTTCCAGCCTAGAAGTAGGTCATACAATCTACCTGATTTATCTTCCAGACAAAGCTATCTCTACATGGCACAAAAGGGGCATACACTCAATGATGTATGTTTTTATTTTTTTAATTCCTGAGGTTATAAAAGGAAAAAAAGCATCAGGAAACAGTCCAATACACAACCGTCTACACCTCCGTGACTGCACAGACTGTGGTATACATACATCTTTTTTCCTCCATGTAGAACATGAAATTTGATGTGAATGGGGTTTGCAATTCTTTGGCAGCTAAGATTAAAAGATGTTTCTGAACGAGCTACAATATAAGTGATTGAGCATAATTAAAACTATAGTGCAATTCCGATTTTAAAAAAAGAAGCAAAGTCAGGCTTTTGTAGCTTTGCTGCTTTGTACTGTGGTACAACCTTGTGCAATATATCTCAGTGATTTTTCATACAGCAACACTGAATAATGTTGAGTAAAAGAACATTGTCATTTTCTTAAAGCAACTATATTCTTTCCTCTGCACAAACCTCTGCATAACAACAAAAAAAATAATATTATCCTTCACTGCTCCAGTACACAGGAAAAATGCCCAATTGTTTAAGCTGACCACAACATACACTCTCTCTCCTGTGGGTGTAACATCCCCTTAAATCAATTTTGTGATTGATTTTAAAACTTTCTTTTCCCTTAATTGCATTGCTGGGGATGATCTATTAATAAAAGGCCAAATTCAACAAAACACCTGAGTATCTGTGGGTATAAAGGTTTATTAGTGTCAAAGGCATACCTCACACGAACAGGTTCTTTGTGAATGGGGATATAAAGACCTCGACTGAACCTCTTGCACAAACCTACACTTCTGACAAGTCCTCCATCAGGTTTCTGGGACAATCAAACAAAGTTTGGTAGTGAAGACAGGTTCTTTACTGTCTTCTCTGCACAGCCTCTGAGGTGGAAGTCTCTCATCTAGATGACAGTGGGTTTCCTGCTCTTGAACAGTTCCTTCAGACAGCTGCAATCTTGTCTGCTTGTTGCACCTTACCGTTTGAGTATTTCCTCTATTGAAACTTCTGCTTAAATACTCTCCCCTGTTAAAAGCAAACATTTTCTTTTCATCTACAAACCACAGGTCCTGGCTGCCCCTCCTAGTCCTCTTTCAGAGAGTAAAAAAGCCATGAAACTACTCTCATGAGGCAGCTACGGTACTGTAAAGACTCAAATGCTAAATAAACATAATCCAGTGTTTTTATTTCCTGCCTCCCAAACACAAGTTTCAGCAAGCCTCAGGACTGTGTACAAGGAAAACTTGCAGAGGAAAATCTGGCTTACTAGATGGAGCCATAGACTTTAAGAATTACATAAACATTGGCTTAAGAATATTTGCCACCTGATGAAAAAAATATTAAGAGCTAGGATGCAGAGGAAATCCAGAGGCAAGCCTGTCAAATAATTCTGAATAGAGATAAGAAATACTTCCGAGCAGAGATATATATTTTGGCCTAAGACATTTGACAGTGTCCCTTTAACTTACATTTGGCATTTTAAGAAAGATACCCTATTAAGATTAGTATACTAAGTAATACAACAGCAAAACACTTTTAAAAATCAAACCTAAAAGCTTAAAGGAAAACTGCAGCAGACTTCAGTAACAGCCCTGTGAAAATTGCATAGCATATGGTACACAGTATTCCGCTTTTAAGCAATAAATAATTTCTTCTTGCCTCATTAAATATAAAACACAGCTTCGATGCTGAAATCTGCCATAACTCATGAAGGGATCAGTGCGTCGTTTATTGCCTGTTTCAGTCTCTTGTCCATCTCATCTTCGTGCACACAGCCAGGAACGGGTCTAACTGCATGGTAGCCCGTTAGCTCAGGAGGAGGAGGAAGCCAGCTCGCACCTTTCACTGACCCCTCTGCCCAGCACAGCACGTCTCCCGTACTGGGAAGAGGCATCTGAAGAGAAAGCTTGCCATGAGCCAGCAGCCTAGCTGAAGGCCCCCTGACTTTGGCTTGGCACCACCCAGACTGCAATTCCTTCTCAGAAAGCCCTGTGTGTGCAACCTAAAATCTAGGTGGCCCATGAAGGGCAGTCATTCTTTCACAGTCTTTTGATCAAAGTATTTTGACCAAAGATCAAAGTATTTATGCATTGCTAACAACTGGGATGAATGATTAGCAACCTTCATCAGCAGTAATGTTTTCTTTTCTGTGATCAGAAATTTTCCTCTACCTCAGCTGCAGTGTAAATTTTTTTTGCAGTGTAAATGTCAAACACTTGTATGGTGGATCTCTATTTTCAAACAACCGCTCTATTGTTGGAGAATCAGATCCCCCACAGAGAGCTCATTAGGGCTGGATGTGCATTCGCTTTCAGACGGACCTTCTGAGACTGATTCAACCATTACTGCTACCTTCCACTCAGTCTAGAGAGAGAGGCAGCACTGGCCTCCTCAGAGACTGTGCTTTCACGTGAACGTGATAGACTAAGGTGCTAGAGCAGGAAAAAGGAATGCTCCTCTTTCTAGTGTCACACAGTGAGCAGTACTTTATTCTACAAATTGTACCCCTGATTCTGCCACTGGTACTCACCGTAAGAGCTTATTTCAGTGGAACAACTTACAGAGTATGGTGAGCAAAAGTGAAAGGAATTGCTGCTTCGTGTTTCATTGCTTTGTAACTGGTATGCAATACCAGAGCATTTATAAAAGCCAGTTAAGACTTACCAAATCTTAGTCCAATATGTAAAAAACCTCTACATTTGCTGTTTATAAAAATTGAAAAAGATAAAAAATTCTAGATGGATTACAGTATATGCCTGTGAAGACTGGAGTATTGCATAGTTGCTGCTCTGACTGTAAGAGCAGTAGAGCAGAACAGAAATGGTTATGTTTACTCCTCGGTGAAGAGGTGAACAAAAATACACTTTTTTTCTTTAAATTTCCTTTTGAAGGATATTTTTGGAAGAAAAGTCATTCAATTTTCAGTAGAGAATTTCAGTTTGCATTTAGACACCTCCACACTTATTTTTCTCCCCACGGAAAAAAATAATAATATGGTTGGAACATTATTTGACCTGTTAAATCAAACAACATGGCTTTTGAGCAATCTGTACACAGTACAGAACCATTAGTGTTCCTAAAAAGGCTTTGTTCTTCTAATGTATACATGCTCTCTAAGTGCATTATAACTATTGCATAGTTTCAAAATCTTCAAACAGTGGTCATCATAATGCTTACATATACATAAATAATAGCTTTTCTTAAAAATGTAGTTAAAAATAACACAGTATATTCAAGGCTATGGAAAATCACTTCCATCATAGATGACAGGTCGCTCAATAGTCAAGTGATAAAACACTCTTTTTGAGATAAATCTGTCAAGAAACAAAAGAAAGGAAGATGATCACGTTAGCTGAAGGCAACTAGACAGAAAGCCTTAAAAGTTTATTCAATCTTTCAGTTCATACTCGGGCAAAAAAAATGACGAGTGTTGAAAACAAGTCTGTCTGCACATGGGCTGTCAGGTCTCTTGTTAATAAGATTCTGACTAAACTATCTTGGAAAGAACCACAAATGACTTGCTTACTTCCATTTACCCTCTCAGAGGTCAAGACAAAAGAATAGAATTCTGCTATGGGATGAGAAAAAAACAAACAAAGAACAACAAGAACCAAAACCAAGGCTGAAGATACTTGGTAAGCAGGGAGCAATTTCTCACACCTACTTCCAAACATCACAAGAATGGTACATCTGAACAGTTCCACAGACTGTAAAACCATGCTTATTTCACCTTTTACACTCACGTGGGACCCACCTGGAGAATGTGTTGTCAAATATCAGTGTGTAGATTCCGGAGTTTCGAACTTTCACCTGTCCTCTGATAGTTTCCTTATGAGAATTGCAGCGGGTCATTGGAATAAGAACCTGGAATTCAATACAAATCAAACTGAAACTTGCTATTTGACCTATTAAGTGACATTTACCTTCAGAAACCCCTAAAGTGCATATAAGCCTGCAAAACTATTTATTTTCACTGATTAGCATTCAAAATTCACCCAAAGTAAAATCTCAGAGCGTGACATCTGCGTTCCTTTGACATCCTCTTTCCAGCATGAAGTTATGGCTATAAATCTCAGCTTTAGAGAGATTCAAGTGCTCATCTTTTTGCATTTTTTAAACAAAGCAAGATTACTAACATCATCAGTGCTACATTAAATCTATACAAACATATCCAAGAACAGAATTAGCTACTTTATGCCTTTTCGTATACACTTTTATACTCCCTGTATTTTAAGGGTGATGGAGCAGATCCTGCTGGAAATTATGCTAAAGCACATGGGAAACAAGGACGGTGACAGGTGACAGCCAACCTGGCTTCACTAAGGGCAGACTGTGCCTGACACATCTGGTGGCCTTCTGTGACAGGGTTACAGCACTGGTGGGTAAGGGAAGAGCAGTTGACATCATCTGCCTGGACTTGTGCAAAGCATTTGACACTGCCCCCCATGACATCCTTGTCTCTAAATTGGAGAGATGTGGATTTGATGGATGGACCACTTGGTGGGTAAGGAATTGGCTGGATGGTTGCACTCAAAGAGTTGAGGTCAACAGCTCGAAATCCAGGTAGAGACCAGTGATGAGTGGTGTTCCTCGGTGGTCAGTATTGGGACCAGCACTATTTAATGTCTTTGTTGGTGACATGGACAGTGGGATTGAGTGCACCCTCAGCAAGTCTGCTGATAACACCAAGCTGTGTGGTGCAGTCGACACCCTGGAGGGATGGGCTGCCATCTACAGGGACCTGGACAGGCTTGAGAGGTGGCCCTGTGCGAGCCTCATGAGGTTCAACAAGGCCAAGTGCAAGGTCCTGCATCTGGGCCAGGGCAATCCCAAACTCAAATAGAGGCTGGGCGGAGAATAGATTGAGAGCATCCATGAGGGGAAGGACCTAGGGATGTTGGTTGGGGCCCCCACCATAAGAAGGACATGGAGGTGCTGGAGTGAGTCCAAGGGGGCAGAAAGATTCTCAGAGGGCTGGAGCACCTCTCCTATGAAGACAGGCTGAGGGAGTTGGAGTTGTTTGGCCTGGAGAAGAGAAGGCTCTGGGGAGACCTTATAGTGGCCTTCCTGTACCTAAAGGGGAACTACAGGTAAGTTGGAGAGGGGCTCTTTATCAGAGAATGTAGTTAGAGGACAAGGGATAATGGCTTTAAGCTAAAAAAGGGTCGACTTAGATTAGATATTCAGAAGAAATTCTTTACTCTGAGGGTGGTGAGGCACTGAGACAGGCTGCCCAGCGAAGCTGTGGATGCCCCATCCCTGGAGGTGTCCAAGGCCAGGCTGGATGGGGCTTTGGGCAGCCTGGTCTAGTGGGAGGTGTCCCTGTCTATGGCAAGGGGGTTGGAATGAGATGGTGTTTAAGGTCCCTTCCAACCCAAACCATTCTGTGATTCTATGATTCTGTAAGATAAGCTTTCTCAGCAAATCTTAACCGTTTAGCTAAATTTACAGCAAAAGTGTGTATAACCATCTATCTTGCTGTAAGCCCCTAGCAGAGATAGCGGTTTTCATCTCAGAACAGCAGCTGATGCACATCAAGAACAACCCTGTGCTACCCAAAGTTATGTTAAATAGATATATTAAGACAGAACCAACACGAAATCTTAAGACTTTCAGATGAAGAAAACATACATTTTACCTGGAGTTAGTTACCCTGGAGTGAACTGGCTCATGCTGCATAAATGTCTTTTATTCTGCCAGTGAAAAGCCTTACAGCTGTCCCTGATATGGTGTTAAAACAGCAACTGCCCCATCTTCATTAAAACTTTGGAATGAGCTGAGTAACACAGATTCACTCAAAGCATAACCCTCATAAAATACAGCGTGTATAAAATCTGGTACCTTGGGCATAGGCAAAGTGATTTTGCAGGATATGGGAACAATATCAAGGCCCTTAAACATGAGATTAACTGTAAAAAGTGGAAGTAACCCACCCATTTATCTGTTTACTTTTGGCCTCTGCTTAAAAGCCTGGCAAGATAAGCACTAAACAACTACAAATTAAGCAATACTAAAGAGGGAGAAGAGATTAATTTTGCAGGCTTGGGCTTTTATTTTTGTTTAATATTAGTGAGTGAATTTCAGATGTGACTAATAGAAGTTATAGTGCTTTGCAGGCAACACAAAATAATTAAAGATGTAGCTCTGCCTCCAGGAGAACTATAGCTTAATTGGAGAAACAATTCCTTATAATGCAATTGCAGCTGGCACTATTGTGGAGACCTACTGGCTGTCCTGGCTGATTTCTCTGGTAGCCTACTGAAGTGTACTGCAGTTTCTAAGGTAGTAAGGAAAAAAAAATCCCACTAGGAAATAAAGGTCTTACTTTGCACTGATCCAGTGGTGTGTCTTCTGATTCTTGGTAGACAACGCTGAAGGAGATGCTTTTAGGGTCTGAAGAAAATACCCAGCTTATTGTTAGCCCCATCTCTGTAACGGTGATGGGAATGATACTGTAAGTGCTGGATTTAATGAACAGCTCCCTGTTGCCTTCCCCAAAATTCAAGATCTCCTCCACTGTAAGGGGCAGCTTGATCCTGTTATGGAGAAAGATACAATAATTTGAAGAGATTGAATCTAATATTGTGACAGAAACAATAATCATTATTCTGTTTTCTATCTATTTGAGGCAGACTCCACAGCAACTTTGGGACAGGTCCATAGGATGTGGGAAAATTCATCCCCAGATGAAAGCACAGAGAAGATGACTGATATCAAACACTTTCACTGCTCTGGCAAATGTGGGTATTAGTCACTTACTTATTTCATTTAAACTAGAAAAAAATTGTGCTTGGAATGAAGCTTTTTAGCACTTTCATGATTTTTAAGAGTCTGCTGCCCTCTACTGTTCTTTTTACAGAAAAGTTTAAATGGCGTTTCAGTAACCTACTTTACTCCCTCACTAGAAATCATTTGCACAGGAAACAGGGATCAGGAGTGCAGAGGGGAAAGATGGATGGAATGTGAACAGCAGATTTGTCTAGATCCTCTGGAGCACTTATTGCTACAGCTTGGTCTGGTTTATCCAAGCAAGCTGCATAAAAGCTGATTCAACGTACCTCCAATGAAAAAGGAGGTTCTCAGCACTTGGATGATCCTGACTCCTGAGGCATTTTATTAGCCTACCTCATTCTTACCTCATTCAGACTGCAGTGAGGACCTTAAACAGCAGAACACTGCTTGTCTTTTTCAAAGGAAACCAGTGATTTCTAAGAGCTGAGAATCTCACCTACTTTATACTAACTAAAACTGATCTAACACATCACTCTTCAGGCCAAATAAACTGCTTCCCAAGCAACGAGCTCACAGTAAATCACAGTACCGTGATGTGTTTATCAGCAGCTATCAAAACCTAACAGATTTGCCAGAAAATACCACACAGTCACCATGATCATTTCCTGTTTTAGAGTAAGAAGTTCAAGCTTCCAGTCATTCATACACAGTGGTTAGGGATCACAACTCGTTTATTATGAGAACTGTTGCACTTTGGCCAGAGAGGAAGCTTTCCACTATAGCTGGGCTATACTCTGCCCCTCCTCAGACCACGTTCTGCTGGGGGACACAAGCAATCAGCTCTTCCAGGAGTCTGCAGGACATGTTCACATAGCTCGTATCTGAGTTTGGAACTTTATCCTTTCAGCCTGGTAGTAATGAAACTGTTCTGCTTACATGATTTCTCCTGACTTCAACAAGCTTATCTCAGCATCTTGAGCAACTTGCCACTCTTCTGATTCATCATAGGTCGAAGAATTGCACGTGCTGTTTCTAGGACAAGAAAATATAATCAAGTGGTCAAATATCATCTGCATGCATAGGTCTTCCTGAAGCAGAAATGTTTTAATAGCCTTGATGAGAAACTCTAGAATTTTATTTTGCATGCTCTAGTGACAAAACTGCCCGGGCAGAAGTACAGCCCAGTTCTGCTAACCACTGTGCAAAAATGCAAAACAGCTCCTATTCCGCTTTCATGTGCTAAGAGGAAGAGATGCGTCCAGAACATCTCTTCAGCAGTCTCAGGATATACTCCCTGTCGAGACGCTGACAGGTCTTAAAGCTTCCCTGATGGGTGTAAATCTTCATGGGGAACAGAAACAAACAACACCATCCAGACTCTTCTCTTAAACAAAGCCTCCCCGGGGATATGACATTTGTCCTGGATTTAATCTGTGAGCTGTTTCACCTGCATTTTATCCAGTTCCTTATTCTGGCAAACAGTACACAAAACATATCTTCTCACTGTAGCACCACTATCGTTATCTCCTTTTCACACAAAAAATACTATATGATTCAAATACACCAAAGAAGCTGCTGCAGGATGACAAAGTTTTATGCCTCCCACCCACCACGATGTGTCCCAGAGAATGAAGGAAGTAGATGGAAGAATCTCCCATCCACTCCTTACCTCAAAAAGTGTGCCTGCTCTGAGAACACACCGGAGTAGCACCGACTATGAATTACACGGCTGGGGCAGAGAGGTAAACAGGAGAGAAGAATGAATTTTGAGTCAGTAAGTAAGTTAGAGCTTCTCTATCTGATACTTACTTTGTTTCCTGCACCTTAGCAGGCTGGTAGCTGAGACAACTAGGCTGTCATTTTGCCAGAAAATGCCCAAGATTGTTATCTACAGGGAACCAAACACTTGGTACCTTCCAAAAGCCAGTGGAACCTAATAAAACATGCTTTTGAACAGTCAAGTCTGATCATATAGCAAGGGCAGAATTGTTACACATTCTGTAGACCAATTCTCAAAACCAACACAGAGCTTAGCATTTCCTTTTAAATCCTAGCGGGCATTGCTCTACAAGCAGCAGTCCTGAGTGGAAGAGTGGGAGAAAAGATCTCCAGGTAACAGCACCTTCATCTGTCATTATCAGCGTCTGCATTTACTGTGTCAGCACTCGCAACATTACCTGCCCACTGAAATGAAGGAATGACACAGTCCGTGTAGGTGCCTAAGGGTTAATATGCCTCTCTCCATCATATTTGAAAAGTCCTGGCAGGCAGGTGAAGTCCCTGGTGATGGGAAAATGGGAAACTTCACTGCCATTTTTAAAAAGGATACACCAGAAGGTAGGGCTGCCATCCAAAGGGACCTGGGCAGGCTGGAGAAGTGTGCCCATGTGAACCTAATGGGGTTCAGCCAGTCCAAGTGCAAGGTGCTGCACCTGGGTGGGGGCAATCCCAGACATGAGGACAGACTGGGAGAAGACCTGATTTAAACTCATGATTTCAGAAGAACTCATGATTTAAATGGTCTCGTCGAGACCATTTCTTCCTATACAACCTCTTCACACTAGGTGGCAGCCTGGGGAGCATTATGAGTATGTGCCACCACACAGACCTCTGGTCTACCTGTTGAAATCCACACCCTTTTAAAAGCAAAACGAAGCGGGACTGATAAGCACGAAGTACTGAAGCATATTAAAAACACTACAACAAGAGAACAATTCAGCATCCTTGAGGCACAGACTGCTAGAGGCTGGAAGGGTGTTTTGGAAAAAAAAAATCACGCTTGTCCTGTTATGCTTTCCCTCAGGCATGTGCTGTTGGTCATCCAGGCTGGGCTGGATGGTCTGGCCCAGCTGGGCCTGCTGCTACCTAGCAGGTCAGACACATCACAGGCACCCTAAATTAGCTACCCACCTTCCATTCCAGCCCATCAAAGGGAAAGGAAAAGAAAAAGAATACAGTGGAGGAACAGAAGGGAGAATGCACAGACAGCCCTTGGAAAGAGCAGGAAGAGAGGCACAATTTGGGATGAAGCACAGAGGACATGGAGCTTGCTGAGTTCACAACAGGGTACGTGAGAGTATCTTGTCTGAAGGAGTTCGTATGGTTGCAAGGAGAACGGAGGAGTCATGGGCTGACCCTGACGTACTTGAGGATGAGAAAGTGTCGTGCAGACAGCTGATGAAATAGAGTGGACAGAACTGCAGATATCCCGCGGTGGGTGTCCTGCACATAGGTACTTAGGAAGTCCCAGCCATTTCTCAGAAAAAAAAATAAAAAAATAAAAAAATCAGGATTTAACTATGCTACATTCTGAATGAAAACAAACAAACAAAAAAACCACACACACACCCTCCCACACACACACAAAAATGCTTCCTTGCCTTGAAACGGGTTACGCTCTATCTGTAAGAGCAGAGGCAACTGGTGCATGCACAGAAAGCAAGCCAGGGAAACCATCAGCCAGGACAAAGGGCTGTCTCTGTGCATCAAGTGACAACATGCAAAAATCTCACGAGATACTTTTAGTGCTGTGTTATGGAAGAGCTTTGGCAAAGGCCCTGAGATGAAGCCAGTTTTCAGCCATCAGGCAAGTGCAGCGTTTGCCAGAAGTTCAGAAAAGAGATTTCGAAATAACAGGTTGGGGTTATCGGGGTGCCTTCCAGCCCCTTCACCAGCAGGTGGCAACAAGTATGATTATCAGAATCAGCACCAGAAATAGTGACAAGCCCTCAAGACCTTAAACACTGCACCGTGTGTAGGTCACCAACATTACAACCAGCTCTGTGTGTAACCCTAGCTGATTTCAGTGGTGAGCTACCTGCTCTCAAAAATGAACTTTTTTTTTTTTTTCCTTTTTTTTTTTTTCCTTTGAATTTTCTCCTCGCTCAGTTCTTTAGAGGATATTAGAGGGAAACCGAGGCAGGACAAGTAGCTCAGTAACTTCAGTAGCTCTTCTCCAATAGCTCTGAACATCTTCTGGTTTTCAGGAATTTAAATGGGCCTTGTTGGTAGAAAGGGCTTATTGTTGGCCCTCTACAACACGGCGGGACTTCATCTTTTCTCAAGGCAGACACTGACATTCATTTTAGGGTACATATGCCACCACATAGCTAGCCACAGCTTTGTCATACTCATATCCCATTCTGCATCTGAAAATAACTGCTAAAAACGGGCAGCTGTTGCAACCTGGAACAGTTTGTTAATATTTAGCACCTTGCTGCAGATTTGTTTCTCTGAGACAGGAATTGCTACTACGTGTACCAAAGCACAAGGGAGAATTCAATGTAATTTTAAAGAGCATTATGGGGCCATGCATTTCTTCTGCAAGTGATCTTCTGTCAGTAAATGACGCTGTAGGGCTAGGCCAGATTTGCAGGTACCACATCCAAGGACACAGAGATGCAAGCATAGCGCTCTGCGGGGCTGAATCCCCACAGCACTGCAGCTCTGCACAGGCTGCTGCAGAGACCTACCTTCATGGGCTGTTTTTTCTGCACACTGCCTCCCTCTCTGGCAGAATCTGTCCATGACAAAGGCTACAACTTTTCTACACTGAGCACTGCTTCTGAAGATGAGTCTGCAAAGTTTACCAAGAGCAGTGAGGCTCGCTAAGGAAGCAAGCACAGCTGATAAATGCACCTTGGAAACACATCTAGGAAACCACCTGGAATGTCGCATACAATGCAGAGTTTTGCTTTACGGCATGTGCAGGCTTCTTATCTAGGAAAGAATACCACAGGAAAGGCCAAATGAAAGATACGGCTCATGCAGAGCTGTGGCAGAGGCCAGGCTTGTAGCTTGGTTACAAGGAGTGCACAGAGCTGTCCCTAATCACAGAAGGGACAAACAAGAGCAGAGTTATCACCTCATCCAGTGGCATCGCCCAGGCACCTCTGCTTCTCTGCACCCTCTCCAGGACCTCCTCACAACTATTTCTCTCCCAGGTCTTGTACCCCCAGGCTGTAAGTCAATTCTACCTCTGCAAGTGAAAAAGAGTCACCCTTGCATAGGGTGGGCTCCTTCCATCTCCTTTTTAAACATACAGAGGCCCTCCCAGCTTTTTTGTTGTCTCTGAAAGAAAATTTAGCACATGCATTAACGTTAACCAGGAACAAGACTGCCTTAGAGGTCAAAGACTCACTTGGGGATGGCCACCAACACAATGTATTTCTGTGCATCTCTGCTCTACTCATCTCAGATGCAAAAATAAAAGAGAAAAAAAAAAGGCACTGGAATATTTTTTTTTCCAGAAAAATATACAAAGCCTAGAAAAAAAATGGAAAACCTAGTATTTTCCAATAGCTCTCATAAAGTACACAAGTAGTCAAAACAGGAAAGTGGTACATGCAGATTAAGTTTTAAGTCTGCAAATATTTTTTGAAAAATACATCATTTGATTCCGGTCATTTCAATAGAAAGGCCACAGGTTAATGAAAACACAGATATTTTGAACTGGATCTTGAGATCACCGCACGTTCATATTACCGTACCTGCAGTTGCATCACTCAAGGATGTGCCTCAAAAACAAAGCAGTAACTTCACATCACGTTGCTTTGGTCAACAGCTACGAAAGCTGTGACACAGCTACACAGATTTAGCGCTGATAAATAAAGCAAACTGCTGGCTTCTGACTTCCTCTGCAAGATATGACAGCTGCGTATCGCCAAGATGTGACACTGTTTAGTAAGTGACTGTTTTCTCGACTTCAGGTAAACAGGTAGACAGTAAAAATACAGCTTTAGCATTTAAAAGATTCAAACTTGAAAGATTTTGTTAGATTAATAGATGTTGTCTGATTTGATATGCAAAATCAAAGAGAAATGGTGGGATTATATTCAAAGTGTTGGAGATACTGATATTGCATTTTAGTTTTGTTATTAAATCTTTTCTGATGCTTTTTTCCTGCAGCAGCTTTTTCATTTACACTTGTTAGCTTTTGAAAAAGTCCTTTAGACAATTTTTGGATAGCTGGAACTTAGATGATATTTGTATTAATCATCTCATTTTCATTTATGCTCCAGAATCTATTTTTCCTACTTATATTTGCTTGAAAACTGCTTCTCTTTCCCAACAAATACATACATGAGATAATTTCACCTTTTCTGATTACAACCTCAAAACCCTTTTGCAATGAAATTGGTTCATTTTTAAGCAAGGTAAAATTAAATGATGTTGATGAGCATTATTTAACCAAATGGGAAAACAAATAAACAACAAACAAACGAAGACAAAACAAAACAAAAGCACCACTGTAACACAGACTACCAGCTCCTGCTATAACCAAATCCATGTACTCTGAATTCCCAGTGTCCTGGAGATTAGAAACACCCTTCTTCTGGTGACAGGATGAGAACTATCCATGCCGGAGCAAACCGGAATAGCATGTTCTTGCTCACCATTACTTTCCTGAATTTCCATTTCATTATTTTGACAGCTAATTCTAAACGAACCAGATCTCAAAGTAAAACCTGTATTAACATACTGGATACTGCGCAGCTTTCTTCAATTCATTTCTCTTACCATGATGTTGTTCTTGTGCAATTTAAGCTTCATTTAAAATTCTGTATCTTTTTAGAACCTAATTTCAGTCCATTACACATTCTAACATTTTCCTGCAAATAAACTTATCTTGCTCAAAATTCTCCTGATCACAGCATTCTGTTCTTCCTCCTTCCTGTTTACCTTACACAATGCTTTCCCACTATCTGAGTTCAGGTAGAAATATTACTTCTGTTACTTCTTTTGAAAAAAGCTGGAATAAGTCCATGAACAGTCTGACAAGACAGAGCAACTCTGAAGTTTGAGACAAAACAATGCAGATTTTAACTCAGGTGTATGAGGATAAAAGCAGAATACTATAAGAGCTTCTGGCTAGAAAAGTATCAGGTATAATAATAATGAATCATGAATAAATGAAAACTTTTTAAAATGGAAATTGTACTTTCTTTCTTTTAACAGTTACCATTCACTGGAAAAAGAAAAAAAGAAAAAAGCTTACTGGTCATTGTTTTAGTGGACTGGAGAGGCTGGTCTTCTGCAGAAGGTAAGGATCTTCCCCTTCATTTCTAATTTCTGCACCTGTTTATCACACTTGCAGCATATTTTCAGTGTGAAAATACTTGACAGAGGTAGTCAGCTGATCCAGAAGCTGTTCAGCCTCATAATGCAGGATCAGCCTTTAAGGCACAAATATTGAACAACTCTGAACTGTAACAGCAGCTTGTCTGAAACACAACAGTTGAGACTAAAAAGTTTTCAGCTTTACTATCTGAGCTCCTTATTGAGCTTATTAAACAAACAAATAAATAAATAACCTATTTTTATGCATGTAGGACTTTCTATTTTTTTAAAGAGGGGTTCATAATCAGTCAGACGCTTCAGACTCGTTTCTTCTGATATCAAACCAAAAAGGAACTTAAATAGCTACATCCAGCCAGGGGAGGAAGGAAAAGAAAGAACACTAAAGCCTTTAAGATCACATATAAAAAAAATAATATTATATAATATCAGTTGACAGGTCACTTTCAAGGACTCCCATAATCTTTTGCTATCTGTTTGATGGTGTCAGTCACCTCACCTCTTTCCCAGAATATGATCCATACACCCTAAGTTTAGGGTCACACACTTTACATTCCTGTGCTGAGGAATGTAAAGTGTGTGACATGCTAAAAAAACACTTCCAGTTTAGAAGGATCCTTGCTGCAACTTTCTTTTCTCCATCAGTATACAAATCTGCTTATGTCAGTGCAAAGACAGTATGTAGGGGAAACAGGATATCAGAACGGTCTACCATTTGTACGTAAGAAAATTCTTCAGAGTTGCCATTTAAAAATTATCCAAGCCTAGCTTCCATGTGAAATCCACAGTAAAATTCCCATTTGCTTTCACCAAAACCAAATTAGGGTATTACTGCCTGAATTTGGACATTCCTGTGAAGAACAAAATTGTAATAAAAAAAATAAAATAAAATTTGAAGGATTTTGGTCTGTCCAGAAGGTAAATACTGCATTCTACTATAGTAAAAACAATTATGGATTAAAAGCAGGTATTAAAATTGCTTCTTTTGAGGGAGTCAGTAAGGCTCTCCCAAAGGTGAATTTCCAGTAAGCTTGGACACCAGAAAGGTGTACAACTACGGTAGGGCTACTGATGTAATGTTACGTTGTCAAACTATGTAACGTGGTAATCTCTTTGTTTCAGCTTAGAGGAAAACACATTTCCTTCAGAAGAAAGAGGCAAGAAACATCAGCTGACAGCTGTTTCAAAGAGTACGTAAAGTCAAACAAAATGCTTCCATTTCTTTCAGAATGCGTTGCTTTAATGTTGTTGAGCCTAACTTACTTTTGCTGGTTAGCTTCATCTCAGGCTTGGCTAAGTAAGGCACTTTACAAAGAGATGGTAACTTTTCAAAGGGACACGCAGTCTTATAGGACTTCTCTGGTGACTGACAGACTGTGTTGGCCCTGCTGCTCAGCCCCACATCTGGGGCTGAGCAAAAAAAAAAAGCCCCACACATTTTTTTGGATGACATTCAATCTGCTGCACATTATAACTCACACAGGAAAAGCCATCCTGCCATTCTAAATGATTCAGAGGTGAATTCTGCTACCCTTATGCTGAGTAATATCTTGTAGTAGGATTAGTCTCACAGAAACATGCTCTTTGTGGCTCAAGAGAGAGGATATTTAACCTTAGGCAAAATATTGAAAAGCCCTATTAACATGTTTCACAAAGGATGTGTGACTCTTCTGCACTAACCCAGTGCTGGCACTGGCCCCCCTGGGTGTGGGGTGCTATCTGTGGTCTTTTATTGTAGCCTGGTACAGTTCCTACCTTCTGAGAATATGTCCAAAGCGTTTTTCTAAGAAACAAGCAATGAGCAATACAATTCTGGCATGAAAAAATAGTTGTGTTAAACAATCAGCCAAACTTTCAGGTAATAAAATATAATTAAAAAAAAAAAAAAAAACAGAAAGAAAAAGTAATGCAATCCCATGAATAGCAATGGCAAGATGTAGTCAGGCTGTTCTAAGTCTGGCTGTTACGTCCATTAGTTTTACCTAACTGCCATGGCAGAAGCCAGACTCTTGCCTTGGAGAGCTCAGGCTGTTTTACTGCACCACGCCTAGTGGCAGGGTGTGGATGCGGGGGTTTACAGATCAGTGGTCGCTCCTATGACAACAATATAAATGTCTGAAACAGACTGACTGAAATCAAACGGGGGAGACATCAGTGAAAATCCTCCACGTAAATCACTAACTCATTTGAGAAGAGAAACAGATGTGGTGGCACTTTGGGTCTTGACTGTCAAGACAATTGTCTTCAGCAAATTTATTTATTTGCTTTTGTCTGTGGTGGATGCCTTACTACAGCTCTTCTCTGTTAGACACTTGGGACTTTGTCTCCTGGTGCATTAGGATTTAATTACTTGCCAAGTAAACAAATCTCAATGTGTCTCCTTACAGGCTGCCTTTAAAAAGGAGGCAACATGGCAACTGCAGATGCTGTTACCTTTTATTATAACTTCTCAGCCATTGATCCCAATGAAAACGGAATTGAGAATTTTTACACATTTATAACTATCTTTCTGCCCTGTGTGTATTCGTTTGTTTTTATCTTTGGGCTAGCAGGAAATGCTCTGGTCTTTATCATACTGGTCTTCTATGAGAAACTGAAGACACTGACAGATATATTTTTGTTGAACCTGGCTATAGCTGATTGGATCTTCCTTTGGACGCTGCCATTCTGGGCCTATTCTGCTGCTCAGGAGTGGATTTTTGGCACTGTGACATGTCGAATCATACGGGGCCTGTACAATCTGAACTTGTACACTTCAATGTTAACTCTAACGTCTATCACCTTTGACAGGCTTATTTCTATTACTTTTGCCACCAAAGCACATATGAGTCAAACCAAACGACTGAAATGGGGCAAATTAATCTGCGGCTTGATCTGGGTGATTTCAGTAGCATTTGCCACACCACAGCTTATTTTTAGTGATGTGTTTACTATTGATAAGACAATATGCCTGGAAAAATACCCAGACCACCACATAGAATTGGTTCTTGAAGTTATTCAAGTGACCCTTGGTTACTTTATTCCCATGCTAACCATGATCATCTGCTACTCCCTAATTATTAAAACCTTACTGCATGCCAGGAACTTCCAAAAGAACAAATCTCTAAAAAAAATATTTTCTGTAGTGGCCATATTTATTCTTACTCAGTCACCCTACACTTTCTTGAGACTGATGAAGATCATCGACTGGAGCTTCAACTTGGACAGCAACTTTGACTACGCCATCGTTATAACAGAAGCCCTTGCTTATTTCCACGGCTGTCTTAACCCTGTTATGTATTTCTTCATGGGGGTGAAATTCAGGAAGAACTTCCAGAAAATTATTAAAAGCTCAAGGTGCTTTAAACAGCAAGTTGCTGTTAGACAGTGGCACACCACTGAAGACGAAGGCTCTAAAACTTATACTGTCTCAAATAATGCAGATGTGACAAGCATGTACCCTCTGTAAAACTGTCCAGAGAACATGGCAACTATTTACAGCTTTTTTATTATTATTATTATTTTATTTTTTAAAACTGAGATAGGTAGCCTCCTTGAAAGAAGAAATGCTGCCCCATTAGTAAGGACACTGCAATCTGCTTTAGGCCAGCATAACCTGAAAGCATCACACTTCACTGCCTCCTGCTTTTCCTGGTCAGAGCTGATCCTAATGCAAAGCTGGGACCTGACTCAACTGTGCAGAAGTTTCCAAACGGTAGTGGACACAGTAAGACAAAACTCAGTTCTCAACATGAAGCCAGCTTGGACCTCATGACTCCAGAGGGCCTGGAGACATTCACCAAACCTTTTGCCTGCTGGTTTTTCAGGAAAGGTGTTTGTTAACAAAAGCATTTATGATATTTTGTTTCAAAGATGTTATGGATTTTAGTTGATATGATTAATTTCATGAAAACTCTTGGATTAAACACACATACATATTCGTGACGTGTTTCATGTATGATTTTTTGTTGTTTTATTTTTGGGGGGGTATTTTTTCCATTTGGGAGAAAGGCCTCTACACACATTCCTGTTCCTTCAGTGGTCATCTAAAATTTTGGTAGTAAAGCAGCATATTCATCTACCTTCCATCAAATATCAGGTCTCTGCTCTGTGAGCAGAGCTGGAGACTAAAACAGGCGAAAAACAAGAAGGGATGGTGGAGAGGAGCGGCTGTGGCTTGTCTATGATGAAGTCAGGGACGGGTCCAGCTCAAGGGAATCAAGTCCTTTGCCTTATAGCTTTGAAACACCAGTTTTGACCTGTTTCAAACCATTCTGGCAGTAACCATTTTCATTCTGGATGCTCCTTTTCTCCTCATTAACACTCAGTCCCTTCTACCAGATCACTGCAGCTCAGTGGCACCTGACCCTTATCAGCACCATCGCATCCATGTCACCTTCACCTAGAAAACATCTCTTAGGCAATCCCTTGCTTTCTACACAGTCCCTTGTTTCTTACACACTAAAATGGCGCAGAATCTTCAAAAACAGAAGTAGGAAGGAACTAGGTGGCAAGTAAAGCTGCTATCTCAACGTGCAGCTCCAAGGCAGGCTTTGAGAGGTGCTCCTGTCCCCGTTCTTCTCAGCTGGCTCTGCCCAAGGGATTCAGACTGTATGCAGTTGCCCCTTCTGGCTATGCTGGCACCCTGCACAGTCACATGAGCTGTAATTAGGTCAGGAAAGAATGTTATGAGTCATTAAAAGAAAGAATCCAAAACAAAGCAACCACAGTGCAAACAGGCTGAGATGTCCTTTCTACAACATGCAGTACCAAGGTGTGAACAAACTCATTGTAACCACACCAGGGTAGTGGTATTTTTAAAAAAATACTGTCTATGGTCTTGGTCCTGCTACTACAGTGTTGATCCCAGGCATGTTATTTCAGCAATACATTGGAAAGGAAACAGAGTGATTTGGATTACTCTGGGGACTTTGACCAAGTGCTATACATGATCCTGACCCGTGTTTTATGGCACAATCTGCAACTGTGAACACTGAACACTTAACTCTTTAAAATAAAAGAGTTTAAAATACAACACTTCAAAAGAGAACCCATGCTACCCTCAAAGTAGCAGGATCTACCACAATAGTACAACTTATCTCAGCTTCTCACATTAAATTTTCAATCAGGTTGCTCCAAATTTATGTAACAGAACCAAAACTGTGAAACAATTGCACAACTGCTCACTGTAAGGAGGTCTGCCTCAAGGCCAGGCAGAGTTATGCTGGTAACCATGCCTCTTGCTGTGCCACACATCTGTGCAGCTCACGAACAAGATGAGTTTTATTTGGTTCTGAACTGACTTGTGTCAAAAAAGACAGTCTTTCAAAATTTGCTGTTAAGAAATAGTGCTACTGTAGTCATTTTGTGTCATTTCAAAGGAAAAAATACAGATGCAGGGCTAAGAAAAGAGAGCAAGTTAAAACGAGAACAGCACCACAGAAAGCAAAAGAGAAACAAATAGAAAAGACAGCATCTTTTAAGACAATTCACTGCACCAGCTCCCATTTCCAGTTCAGGAAGGATCTGAACCCAGAAAAAGGTAAGGTCATCGCCAAAACCTGATGCAGACACGCAGTCTGCAGTCAGTTGCCAAAACCTGGTGCAGGCACCTGATACAGACATAAGAAACTCTGTCAACAAGAGCATGCCTATTGCAGATCTTCTCTCAGTCAGTTTGGACCAGCCAGTCTCCCTTCCCTCCCCCTCCCTTGTCTCCTCCCCTTTTATAGCTGTTACAATTAACTCTAATCTCTGGCAACAAAAAAAAAAAAAAAAAAAAAAAAAGTATAGCTGGCCTGGCAACTTGTTTTTTGTATGCAACCCTCAAACATGGGTCCAACAAGCACAATCTTCAATTCTTTGCATCTTCCCCAGGCACAACATCAAAGCAAATTCTACCTCATATATTCAATTTCATGCAAAGAGAACATTATTGGCATGACGGTGGATAATTATTTATACTTCAAGACTACCCTAAGTCTACAAATAGGAATGAGACCCCATTTATCTGGACACTGAAAAAATAAAATCAAAGGTCGAGGTGGTCCACCTGTCCAGTATGGCCAAGAGATCTGCAGCACTGAAACCAGTAGCTCAGAAAGTCCTTGGCCTGCAGATCCTTGGCAGGTGGGAGAAAACAGACTGGGAAATGATCAGTACATCTGCTATGGACTGCTGTCAAAGAACGGAGGGAGGGTTAGCTGAACTTTTGTTTAGGTTCATTGTAGTGGCCGATGCTGCCTTATCTGCTCATGTCCTGTGAACTTGGGCTTTGGGTACCTGTAAACTCTTCACCACAGAAACAAAACGAGAAAACTTCTGGGCTGTCATAGTCAATGCTGGTCTCTTTTTCTCTTCAGCATATACCACAGGTGCCACACAATCATCACACTCACGTATCAGTTTTTGCATCTGTGCCGTAACACAAAACCACAAAATCATCACAAGAAGTTTAAGTGATCCACTGTGTAAGAAGGCCATCCTGCTACCAAGTCAGTGTTCGTGCCCCTGAGACCTACCAAATGTCCCAAACGGTGCTGGGGGTGGGCAGGTGTAGTCTGCATTCTCCGCAAAGTATGTCTCAAGCCAAAAGTATGACAATACTAGGAGGCTCCCCACTGCTCACAATACTAATAAAACTGAAGGATTAAACACTACTTCCTAGCTTTTCTGACTATAATTTGTGAACAATGGGAGATGGGCAGCCTTTATAAATTTGCATGTTGCATGGGAACCCTTCAAGAACAGTCTTCCAGTGTTAGTGGTAATCCTTCCTTTCACCCTGAATACACTGTGGGACAAGAAGAATCCAGTCCAGTCCCACACTGAAAAAAAAAACAGTCACAGGAACTCATTTCTTTTCTCCTGCTTGTATTCTCCCAAGCTAACTCACTAGTGACACCTTTTCTGAAGACAGCATGAAATCTCACAGGTCTCTAATACAGAGAAGTTGCACATGACACATTTTTTAATCTTCTTACAAACAATCTAACAAAGAGACAAAACCCTTCACTACAAACTGCCCCTTTGCAAAGCAAATGTACTGCTAACTTCACAAGAGCACTGTGAAGCTCAGTTCATTCATGTCTGCCCGACGTGTGGTGAACATGAATGGAATGTACTGTCAGCGTGGATGGTATACAAAATAGGTGGAATACACAGAACTTACTTACCAAGAAATAAAAGTGAAGAATTTTGAAAAGGTTGCTTTCCAAACAAACAACTCTGTTCATTCTGCTTCTACTAAATAGCAAGTCACTGTGGTTTACGCCGGAAATGGCTCTGCTAGGGGCAAAAAAGTCTAGCTCTGCTTTCTCAGCAGCAAGCTGGTTACTCTGTGGCTATTCACTGTTTAGCATTTAGATTTATCACACTGATTTTTCTGCTCAGAAGCAAAACAAGTACAAACTTAGGTGAAAATGGTCTGTTTTGTTTCCTTTCTCAAATATATAAAAGATGCAGCTTTTTCAAGAAAAAAGTATTAGCAAAAATGTTCATTTTTGAAAGATAATGTATTTTACAAAATTGAATTTTTCAAGAATACTTGAAAATATTTGAATGATAGCAAAACAACACTTTCTATAAGCATGGATATGCATCAAGCTATAGTATTAGTATATAGTTTTCAAACCAAATACTTAGCCTTAGCTCCTCTTCATTGTGATTGAAACCTGCATTTCATCTCATTTCCTTATGGAAAAGAAGAACTTATGCCAGATTTCACTATGCATTTCTAGTTCTTTTCCTTTTCTCTAAGCTGTATCTTTAAAGTTGTAAGGAATCCTACAGAGACAGACCACTTATTTTATACTCAGGTCAATGAAATGTGTCACAGAAAATGGCAGATCTTTCCTTATTTTCCCCCCACGTCCCTAGATTCTCTTGATATTAAGTAATGGTAACTTTGATAGACAGTATCATTTATCCCCTACTGTAAATTAAGTGTGAATGACCAGTGATCCATTTGGGCCTACAAATTGATTTTAACAGTGACAGATGGCCTGTGACAGCACAGAACTGGGACTATTCCTTTGTGCCGTGGAGAAGCAGGTAGAGGGCGATGACAGAGCTGTTTGGATTTACTAGATTTGATGCTGACTGTGCAAATGGGCCAAAATTATCTTGTGTTGGTCTACTGAACATGTGGCTGGGAACAGAAGGGTCCTCTCCCTATGCAGGGGTTGGCTACCTCCACTGAATGGCAAAAAAACAACCACCAACCAAAATCCAGAAGAGTCCCCTCTCCATGAAACAGTGTTTACTCACAGATCTGTCACGCTTTGATCCAGAGAGTCTCTCTCCATCTGACTTTCACTGTGGAGTGAGTCTGATTCTTGTACTTGGCACAACTCCTCATCCGTGATTATATCAAACGCTGCATCGTCTGGTGGTTTAGAGGCTTCACTTGCAACTGTGCCATAAAAGGACATGAAAAGAAACATTAGTAATATTAGCTGGTTGTGTGTAAAACAAACAAACAAGCGAAACCCTTAAGGGGGATGACTGGGCCATTCCTCTCTTTACAGAAGCATTAGGTAACTTCTAAGAACCAATTGAAATCCTCAGGCTGACCGACACCCATTTAACACACGCAGATTTCTGTCAATACCAATTAAACACTGAGATGGGACCAATACCATCCTGAAAACACTCTGTGAACATGCAGGCCCTTGGAGATGGAGCTGACCATGCGGTTTCCTGGAGAATGTCTAAGAAGCCTACTTCTCAGCGGCAAGCAAAAACCACACTAACCAAAAGCCCTCTCTTCGGGCGACAGTGGTGATTCCAATGAACCTGGGGATCCTTCCTGGTTGACACTGGATCCAGAGTCATCTGTATTGTCCACGATCACTCTGGGCTTACTAAAGCAAGCTCTGCAGCAACGCTCCTTCTTCCCACCAGGTTTTGTCACCATGTAGTTGTTGCAGCAATAGTAGCAGAAAATGCGACCACACATTCTAGAAATGATTCAAAACCAAAGGTGTTAGAATGGTTACCACACAGAGGTAGAACACAACTAATGGCACAGACGGGCTTTGTCATAATGGTCTTGCTGCTTGGAAAAGCCCAAATGCCACATCCACGACACAACTTATGCTGCAGTCTGTGATGCTTTCTGAGGTGAAGGAAGTTTTCTTGACAAATAGAGGACAGAAATGCACATTCAATTTTGCTGCCTTAAGCCAGAAAAAAAACAACACACAACAAACAAACATAAAAATACTACCAAAAATACATTTAAAAATAAATATCCACAATTATGCAATGCAAATAAAAAATTCATATATGAAGCAACTGCCTTTAATCATATTAGAAAGGCTAAATCTCATGCTCAGAGCAGAAATCTATATAGTTGGAAGAGTGTAAGAATGTCTGTATGTCTCTACTTTGCCAACTTCCCTCTTTCCTTCTTCCAGGGAAGAAGAGACAATACTGGACACACAACATTGCACATTCATCCCTCTTGCCCTCCCCATTCTGCAGTCCATCAACATTAAACCTGTCAACTAATGAACATATTAAGATTTTCATGAAGAAAAGTAGCCAGCAGGGATGATTGTCATTTATGAAGTCTTGGTGGCTTTGTTTTTTAGAATCATTTAACTCTTTAATAGGTACTGGCAAAACACCTGGAGGTTTCACAGGTTTTAGTAGAAATGAGTAATTTGAAACTTATTACTGGAAATGACTTAACTATTCACTAATCACTACTGAATGTTCCTACATTAACATGCAGTTGTAACAGTCCCAGTCCTACGCACCTTAGATGATGAATCAGGTTGTGAGGATAAAGAATAGCAAAGAACAAAAACAAACATAGCACAGAGACCCTGAAATGCATCAACTTAAATATATTTGAATAAATCGAGAGCAGGTAACTTATAGCTCCAGGCTAGCTGTATAGGAAATAATTGAATATGAACTTTTTTTTAGAAGATTCCTATCCAATTGGTAATTATCTCTGAATGTGTCTAGTTTAAGTAATCAAATCTATAATTGCACAGCATATTGGATTTGTACTGGAATACTTTTCTCACATTACAAAACCATCTTACTGAATGTTATTTACAGCATGCACAGAGCAGTGCATAATAAATGTATTAAAAACACAGTCCTTCCAGCCCTGTGAAATATTAAAAAATCTGAATGTTGTTCATAAGAACAGATTTAGTTTCACAGTGGGTGAGATAAATGTCCACCTAGTCAATAATTCTGACAACGGTCAGCAGCAGCAAGTAGTCGGTAGTCAGTTTGAGGAAAGATTATAAGATATACTGTATAGTAGGGTATGATTATCTTTGCTTCCAGAAATCAGAAACTGATAGACTCTCCAAGTCAAAGCTTGCATCTAGATCTTTGTCGTAACACGTCAAGAGACACTTCCATTATAATGTCTCTTATCCCTTTGTGAGCTCATGTTCTTTCAGGCTCTGCAAGGTCTTCTATCTACGATTTTGACAAATGAATTATGAATTTTAAAAAGCATTTCATCTGTGTAAACAATCATATTGGGTTTTGCTTTTGAACAGCGTAAGAGTTCAACAAACTGACCTGCAGTGGTGTCGACGCACCATCCATGAGAATTCTCTCTGGCAGTCCAGGCAATGGTTAACCTCTGTGTCCCCCTGCCACCTTTGCTCTGCACTAAGCTTCTGCTGGAACTCGAGAGCATCTGATTTTTGCCACAAAGCATCCTTATCTCTACAGAGAGACAGTTAGAGAAATTAAAATCATACAAATTATCAGTGTTTACTGTTAGCCAACCTCAATTTGAATGTTGGTGAAAGCTTCATCACCAAAAATAGCTTTTCTGTAACTTCTGAAGAGCTTTCAGGAATAAAGATAGATCAAGAAACCTACTGAAATACACGGGAAGGGGGGGGGAGAAAAATGCATGCCATGCAGAGAACTACACATTTTTGCAAACAAGACAGGTAATTAAAGAGATTATATTGGGTATTATATTTTTGACTGCATTAAAGAAATGCAGAATTTCAGCTGCTTATGAACCTGGCCATTATCTTCATCATCAAATCAGGAAAACAAGAGTGAAACATTTAGGCAGTACCCCTTAAAATCCTAATACTAAGGTTTTAATTTCTGTTTGCTATTTATTTTGATGCCAACCTGATAAGTTCTATTAAGCGTTCTTCAAGGAACTGTTTTGTTCTTGTCAGGTCGTCCAGCTCAGCAAACAATTTCTGGTCACTGCTGTCTTTGTCTGCTGCCACCTTGCTGAGCTTCTCACTGTAGTCCAGGGCCTGCTCTCTTGCTTCATCAGCTTCCTTTTGGGTCCTGATCAAATACAAAGGCAATTAAAAATCTTTTTTAGTTCATATGTATTCAAGTCCTCCCCATCGAATAAAGGGGTCCTCCATTTTATAAGCACGTAGTTTCAGTGAAATTGTTCTCAGTGTGCTTATTTTTTAAAGCCAGAATTTCCCCAGCTTTCTGCATCACTGACAGTGCACACAGATCTGTTATCCAGTGAAAACTGTTAGCAATCAGCAACTTATAGGATGCCCTGCTTGTAGCAAAGCTTATGATGGCTGCCAAATTGGGAATAAAATTCGTGTTCTTTGAAGCTAAAATCATTAGAATCTGCAAGCTGAGCTAAACAGGCAGGGCCCTATAGCCACAGGTTGCCCAGTATTTGCAGGTTGTGCTCGGAAGGGCCATTTAACTCGTACTTGTCTATAGCCTTCATGTTTACACAAGGGAAGCAAAACAGTTTTTCAGTATAGTCTTCTAACACAGACAAAATTCAAAACCTGAAGGTTATGACAATTCAGTTCACTGCGTAGTCCGTAGTCAGTGGAAAGAAGTGCCCCCAGAAAGGGTCACGGAATGTAGGTCACGGCTTGATGATATAGTAAGTTCAGTACTTAGTCCTAGCAATGGATCAAAACTGCTACGGGAACACAACACAATGGGCTGAGCTGGTCTGAACACTCAGTCAATTCAGCTGAATTCAAGTTTCTTGATGAGTTTTGTACTGACAGATTCCATCATAGATCAAGAATCACCAGTCTTCCCACAAAGACAGATGGTATCAGCATAAAAATATAAAAATACATAGGCTTTGGTTAACCCATCAGTAGTCTGTGTGTCCAAGCTAAGATCTATTTTGGACTGCTAGATAATACACGACACACAGCACCAAAATTACAGACCTTGGAGACATAGCCCATTAGATGCTTAAAACTGCTGAGAAACCTGCCAAAATAAGACATGCAGGATGTCGTCCCATTTAAATAATTCTTACTGTGTCCCCAAAACATCACGGACAGGAGAGAAAAAGAAACCATCAGAAAGTGCAAATTTTCCAATCCTTATTAAAAAAAAAAAAAAGGAACAATACTGGTATTTTAATTTTGTGACTAAGCTACAAGATAAAAGAAGTTTATGAAATGTCTTACAGTTTCATAAAGGAAGAGGGACAATGAATTTACGTCATTGGCTGAATTAGTGAAGTATTGAAACCTAAACCTTGCATTCATGTGTGCTGTATAATTTACATACTTCTTGTCTTAAATGTCAATAGTGCCCATGCACTATTTCCCCTATATAAACCCTGGGGTAAATGCTACTTCATATACCACAGCAATTTTCGGTATGCTTTGATTATCGGCCCTGCTTGGCTTTCAACTAACAATTTGTATAAAAGAACCCAAACTCCCACCTTTCCAAGAGCTCTCTCAGAGATGTCACCTCTTCTTCCTTCTGAAGCCGGGCAGATTCTGATTCAGACAGCTGCTCTCTTACTTCATCCAGTTTTCTAGACAAACTTGTGTTCTCAGCCTAGAGAAATATTTTACTTTTTTTACTTACATGTAAAAACAACACTTTGCCTAGCATTGGACAAACACCAAGACAACTAAGCAATGCTTTAAAGAAGTCAGTTAAAGCCATACCATCAATTAAGATATTATTGTATAAGCAGACACTAACTATTGGTATACTAGTGATTGATTACTTCTGTCACATTGAATAAGGGATAAACTTGAAAGTAAGACTGTATTAAGCACAGCCTGTAATTCTTATTATTCTGTCATTTAAACTTTTGTCTCTGTATTAAGGAAAATCTCTCAAAGATAATGGTGAAAGAATAACCCCTTACTCATTTTTTTTACCACCTAAAAGTTTCAAAAGAGAAGAAATAAAAATGAGGAAAATGCTTAGTTTTTGTCCTCTTCATATACGGAACATTAAAGACAATAGAAACAAAAACTTCCTTCTCAGCTAGCCTCTGCAGACCGATCTGCCAAACTGAGTCCTCAAGGCACTGAAGCCTCTGAAGTTTCATGTACATTTGCTAGCAGGCAGGGCCAGGTTCAATAACCTTAACTTTCTTTTTTCCTGATCCCTTACTCTCACCTCAGTACAACCCTCCTAACTCAACTGTTAGAGAAATTCATTACAAAAATCCTGTTTTTTTTTTTTCTTTTTTCTTTTTTTTTTCCAGCTAGGTTATTTCTCAGCAATATCAGTTCTCTGATTCAGTGACCCTGGCAACCTGCAAATAGCTGGATCCAAACGTGTGGCTGTGTGGAGTGGGCCTGCAGAGTGTAAGACAAACACCTTTAAAACCTGTACCCCCCATTTAAGAAATGTATACATATTCAGGTCTTGGATGAAACCTGACTAGTTTTAAGAGCAGGACAAGTCCAAAGTGCTTTTGATAATCTCTGTTTCAGTCTCTAACTTTAGGCTGCCAAGTATTTTTGCCTTAGCATCTGTATTTGTTCAAGGGCATTCTTAGACTCACAGCCATTCATCAGAAATGCTGCCTTCCTTCTCCCTTACAACAAACACTAATGCCAGCAGACACAAACACCTCTGCCTTTTAACCAGATCGAGCACCTACTTGTAAATCTGCAATCTCTTCCTCTGCAGCATGCTGTTGTCGCTTCTGCTCCTCAAGTTGCTCTCTTACTTTCTCACATTCTTCACTGGCAGCCTAGCAAAAAGATCGAGCCAGAAGTTAGCATTCCTCTAGCCGCCCCCATTTCACATACAAAATTCCCAATCATGAATCATGCGTGCTCTTAATGCCATGCAAGGGATAAATGCAGCACCACTGTCAGGCTCGTGACAGACAGCTAGAGACACCTAACTCATAGTTTCAAGAGTCCTCTGAGGTTGCAGACTAGCTGTAATTTACTGTTACTTGCTATGGGTATTACAGCTGTCAACAAAAAGAAGGCTCAGTTTGCTTTCTCTCAAAAGAGAGGGAGAGCTTAAATTATACTGAAGTTTAAGAAGTGTTTATGGAAGGAAAACATAAATGAACGCACACTATTTCTTCAAACTCATGGAGATTTCTGGACACCACCAGTGTCACAGACCTCTGATTAGTTGCCAGTCTTAGATGCCATCTCTGAATGGCAGAAGAAGAATAAAATACTTAGTGCTTAGGCAGACATTTCACATATACAGGGTTGACTCATGTTTTTATGGAAGCGAAACTTTGGTCTTCTTGGCTGCAACCTCCAGCAGCTGAACACAAAAGCACATAAGGGAATTATTTGTAATAGTATCCAATGTCAGTCTAACTTTGTTTCATCAAAATCAGTTTTCAGGGGAAGCAGCATTAGTTTTCAGGAGAAGCAGCCTTAAGGGTGTAGGGAGCACTGTTCCTACCAAAAATAAAATAAATATGTGTATATATATATATATCACAACTGTAACCTAAGGGAACAGTTAAAGAAGACACCACCTTTAGTGCCAACGTAAGAAATCATCACCTGCTCCAGTACTGGCTGGCTTTTCCACATCACACGGCCAGTGTGCTTATAGGGCCACATTTTACATATCCAAAAAATCTCCAGAGTTATTTTACCTCAAATCAGCTTAACTCATGAGTGTAGAAGCATTTTTAGATTTCCAAGCTCAGGCTAGCTGCATACGAGTCTCAGAGCCTGACCAACGCAAACCTTAGGATTTCACCCAATGATTTTTGCAGCAGATGGTAAAGCGGGGGGAAGTCCTGCACAGTTCCTTCAGCTGTAGCAAGCACGTTAATTTACCTTGAATTTTGTCTGATAACTTAGAATTTCTGTGCTCATTTGAAATTTCATTGTAGACAGCTCTTCTTGGCTGGTCTCCTGGAAACTCTGTGCTTGTTTCTTTGCTGTCTCCAGCTGTGTTTGCAGACTTGGGACAGCTGCGGCATGTGTCTGAGCCTCCTCTAGTTTCTCTTGCAGGCTCTTGTTCTCCTGTCTGAGATCAGAGATGTCATGCTTCAGCCTCTCCTGTTGTGCTGCTGCCTGTTCTTCCAGTTCTTTGAGCCTCTTTGTGGCCTCAGCTAATTGCTCTTCTGCAAGCACCTTTTCAGAGGTCAAGGCACAAATCTGAATACCGAGTTCAGCCATATCCGTGTTGGTCCTGTGGAGGAGATCTTTGTTTTCTTCATTTTCCATTCTAGCAACGTCCAAGTACTGCTTAACCTTGAAGAGCTCTTCCTGCAGGTTCAGCAAATTACTCTCCAGCTCAGCTTTTTGATGGGCTACTGTCTCCTGCTCTTTTTTCAGTACTTCTTCTCTTTCTTTGCTTTGCATCAATTCTTGCACGTGGTTTCTGTTGAGGGATTCAGTTTGCTCTTTCAGCTGCTGGACAAGCACTTTCTGCTCCCCTAAGCTGGTCTCGGTGATCGCCAGCTCACTTTTCACCTGCTCTCTCTCATCAGTGGTCTGTTGAAGCTTGACTCGCAGGTCAAGGACTTCTGCTTGCAGCCTAGACACCTCATCTCGGTTGACCTGCAGCTGCTCTTCACTTATGATCAGCCTGGAGGCCAGCTCTTTTGCCTCCTTCTCCCGAGAAGCTGCCTGCTGTAGTTGGTGTTTTTCCACTGACTCCTTTTCCGAGGTGAGGGATTCAATAAGCTTTGTCTGTTGGAGGCATGTATTTTCAGCGCTGAGCTTTTCTACCTCAAGAGTCTCTGCTTTCTGTCTATGTCTTTCAGCTTCTGCTCTTAGCTGCTCACACTGGTTCTTCATGCCTTGCAGTTCTACTTCCCTCTCTGTGAGCTGTGACTGGAGTGACTCTTGGCATTCCTTCAAGGTGCCTAAGCTTTTTTCCATTTGTAAACCGTGTTGTTTGGCACTCTTCAGCTCTCCTTCAAGTAAGGCATAAGACTCCTTGGTGGTCTCTTCCCTTTCCTTGAGTTCTTTATAATCTGAGTGCAGAGCCTCTAATCTCTCCTCCAGAATTTGGCTTTGTCTCCTGGCATTCTGCAAGTCTTCATCCAGCTGTTGGTTCTGGCTCCGGAGCTTCTTTTCTTTTTCATCGACTGACACTAGGGCATCATCAATCTCACTCTGAAGCTGTTTCTCAGAGGCTCTCAGCCTGGCCACCTCAGCTTCCAGGGATGCTTTAGAGGCTTCCATATTTTTCAGCTTCCCTTCCATCTTCTCCTTGGACTGCTGCAAATCTGCATTTTCGGCCTTCAGCTTCCTACTCTCCTCACCCATTTCGGTCACTGCCAAGTTTTGCTGCTCCATCTGCTCCTCCAGCTCCTTGACTTTCTGGCTGAGATGCTCTTTCTCAGACAAGAGTTTTTGCTTTTCCTCCTCAAGGCTACACACAGACTGACTCACCTTTGTTAAGCGACTCTCCTGTAGTTCAAGTTGTTCTGCCTGTGATCGGGTTTCCTCCTTCAGTGCTCCTTCCCTCTTACCTGTACTCCTCCTCAAGTTTCTCTTTTTCCTTCCTTTCCTCCTCAAGATTTTTTTCCAGTGACCCCACCTGAGCCAGCGACCCCATTACCTGGGTCTGGCAGCTCAGCCATCTCCTTTCCTTTCACGGGTCAGGGCCTTCTGAAGTGCATCCACTTCCTTCGCCATGGTTTCCAGGCTCCCTAGCAGCCTTTCACTCTCTTCTTTAGAGTCAGCAGCGAGGCGATTGTATCTGGACTCCAGCTCCCTCTGTGCCTCTTCTTTTAGCTGTAACTCTTCTCTTGCGGCTTTTAGCTGAGATGCATGTTCATCACTGAGTTTTTGCATATCTGCCTTTTCCTTTTCTGCCTGCTGAAGCTTCTCTAGCAATGCTTGCATCTGTAGGGCAGAGTCACACTGGGCTGTGGACTTGCTGTACCTTTCTCCTCCAAGGCAGCATCAACTTTTGCAAGGAGGTCGAGGTTCTTCTGCTTCTGCGAAACTTAGCTTTGCTTTAAGCTCATCGATGCAAAGCTCCTTCATGCTAACTAAAGCCCTAGAGGCCTCCAACTCCCGATTCATCTCCTGCAGCTTTGAGGCACAGTCCTCCTTGCTGTTTGCCAGCTGCTCCAGCTTTGTTGAATATTCCTTCTGCTGCTCCACGGCATTCAGTTCCAGTGAATGCAGGCACTTCTGCAGGTCATGAACAGTGCTCTGAGTGGAGTGTGAGACCTCACACTGCTTCTGTAACTCTGTGATCATCTTTGACAGCCGGGAGTTCTCCTCGCTGTAGTTATTGTTCTTCTCCTTTTCCAGCTGTACTTGTTCTTTGTGAAAACTGACAGCTGCCTGGAGCTCCTGGTTTTCCATTTCCAACTGGTGAATACGACCCTGAAGTTCCCTCTGCCTCAGTTCAGCCTGGTCAAGTTCTACACGCATCTCTTCAAAGCCCTCAAGGTGTTCAACATTTATTGAGTTATTTGCATCAGGGCTGGAGGGAAACTCTTGAGCCTAGATGAACAGAAAGGAAAAAGAGAGTTGGAAAACTGAAGAAGAGCTGCATTTTTCAAGGAAAAAGACTCAAAAGTTTCAGAAATTAGGATAGCTTACCTTTGTTATTGGTTATTGGTGATACTAATAATAACAATGAGGAGACACTACCAGGATTAAAAAATGTAACTGAGAATTTGAGTTTTTAATATCCTCCTTGACTGATAAATTTATAGACATCTTTATAACGCACAGCACCATAACATCTTAACAATTAAATTTTTAAATTAATCATATTTGTTGGTATAAATAAGTCTGTAATGAGGACCTAGCTCACCCAAAAATGTACATCTACCAGCTCAAAGAGGAATTAAACATGCATTTAAATGCCATGTTCACATGAGAGCAAATTCAGGTTCTTAATGCACAGTGGCCTTGTGTGTTGGGTTCATATCACTAAAAGACATCAACTTACAGGAAAAGGGGAGTGTTTTTACAAAAGATTAATGAAAATATGCCTATCTGTAGGCAACTTTCTGCATATATATATTTTTTTTTCCTCTGCAAGACTTGTGTGCAGTTGAACCAGCTGCAGGACAATTCCCTTTCCTTTTAATCGATTCTTTTTGTAGCTTACCATTATAGGAATCAAAACCATCATAAAACTTCCAAGCTCTTTGGAACTATGCCATTAATTAAAGATCTCCGGTGCCACACAAACATTTATTTGTAATTTGCTTACCTGCAAGTAATTGCTCACTAAACTGCTCATGCTGGAACTGCGACTTGGGGGCTTCCATAAATATGCTGAAGACCCAAGCGAGGACAACGTCCTCCTGTTGATTACATGGTGAAACAATACGTAAGAGAAGACTAAGCACACACATACATGTCTTTCTACTCCTACGTGTAAGATTTGCCTAGTTATAACTACCACATACAAAAAGACATAACTGTGACTGGTGTGTGGGCCAACAACTGCTGAAGTTGATGAAAAACAAAATAGGGGTATCAAAGGCACTTACAAAGGATTATGGGGTTGGTAGCCGTGACTTCCCAAATCCTTACGAACCAATGCAATTTAGCTTTACAAACCTAGCTTTACTGCTACATAGTGGGTGCTCAACCAGGTGGTGGCAGCATGCAGCCCTGGAAAACTCCCACTGATGGACTTGGATCTAGTTCAGACTTAGAAGTTTTTGTTCTTCCACGCTTGAGGTGGGCTCAGGCCTTCTGTAGTGACTGCACAATGTCATTTACACCACTGCTGCAAGTGAAGCAGAATCCTTGGCCATGCAGTCACTTGGAGCCTTAGCTCTTGAAACAGAAGGAGCTAAGAACATCTCTTCCTGTGTCTGTGAAAATGGCTATAGCTTGGGATTTGGGCCTAAACTGCAGTTACTGGAAGGACTCCCTTACAGACTAATAAAATAGGTAAATATTTTATGCAACAAAGTGTTGCTGTCTTACCTGGCAAATGCTGGCCAAGCAGCATCTAGATCGTAGCCTCGTGATGCCAAGTCGAACTGAACATCAGTGAGCTCATACAGCTGACCCACAATGTCAGAACTCATTTTGGAATTCAGAAATGGACTTCTTGCATAGTACCAGTCACTTGAAAACAACAAACAAAAAAAGTAGTATTCATTCATAAGTAAAAAAATAAAACCATCATTATTCACTCTTTCCCAGAAAAATTGTAACACACTATATTAAATGTAAACTGAAAACCAAAAAACACCCTATCCCTCTAATGTGAATGAAACATAACAGATTCAGTGAGGCCCATACAGATACCCTTGAAGGAGTCCCTGCACAAAACATTTTTTGCTGTAGTGCTTGGGGAAAACACTGGTAAGACAAAATATTTGCTGTACACTGGATAATCACACAGTAAATACAAAAAGCACACACATAATATGTCAATAATGGACAGAAAGCAGCAATCAGGGTTAAATACATGGTGCCTATAGCTGACTTTTTCTAAAAAAAAAAAAAAAAAAAAAAAGACCTTGGATGGACCTTGCTAGTGTCCTTCAAATTAACTGATGAACTTAATGAACTGTCTTTGGTGTTCCTTGGCCAGGGGCAAGCTTCTCCTCTGAGTAACAATCCATGTATATATGCAAATGTTTGTACAAACACAACCAAGTGAATCCTCCCTTATAATACACAGCACAGATCAAACCCCTGCACTTCAATGCTTATAAAAATGTAACCTTCAAAACATCAAACAAAGAAGCATCATCACCACCCACTTCACACACGTTCAGCTCTAACAACTTCCAACATCTACCAGCCTAAGGTAAGTATGAACCTGTGACCCAGGCCAAAAGGTCTGTTATCCTTTGTATCCTATTACCAGCCCTCTAAGCCAACCCTTTGGAAGGGTTTCAATTTCTTTCAATAGCTACTGGGTCAAGTTGCTTGCTCATACTGAGCAACCACCTATTAGTTAAGGAGGTACTTTGCTGTTCACCTGGTCACCTTGGTGTTCATAAAACATTGCTGCAAGGTGTCTGCTAGCCTTTGGTGAACCAGAGAGTAACGCAGAAATGCTCTTCCTTTCCCAAGAGATGTTCGTAGCTGGAACAGAGAAAAAAAAATTAAATATTGCTTGTAATCATGTAGGGAGGCTTGACCAGTACAGTCTATATACCTACACAAAACCAAACCAAAATAAAACAAACAAAAAACCACACACAATAAGCCACTAGCTATAGAGGAAGTAATACGAAATGCCACTGAGAGACACCTTCCCCCAGTACCATTGTTGGGAGGTGTTGGTTTTTTTTTCGAATGACAAATCTATTTCTTTAGCTGGCGGTTGTCCACTTTAAAATGTAAAAGGCATCATGAGATCAATAAATATTCTCACGTGTTGACTCCAGGAGTACATACTCTGTTAAGGGCAATTCCCAATATAAGGCAAAATCTCAGTGTGCCCAGGAAAGCCAGAACTGACTGCTTAAGTAATTTAATGTATGGCCACAGCTGTAAGTACATTAGGGCTAATCTAGTCATAGAACAGAGATGTACACATATACATATCTACATCTCCCTGGAAACAATAAGCCCAAAATACACATAAAGCCTTTCTTAATACTTAGCTATTAAGTTGGTAAAATCTAGATCTTACTTCAGATCAAGAGTAGCTGCATTGAATCCCTTAGGAATTGTCCAAAACAAAACCAAAAACAACAACAACAAAAAAAAAACACACCGGAAGCCACTGAACTAACCCTATTCTTATTCCCATTGGTTTACCAATATAAACAGCAATCCCTCTTTTATGCATGGAGATACTAAAACAAATTTCACGTCAAGAGAAGAAAAGGAAAATATTTACATATATACAGCTACTAGCAGCCAAGGAGTATTCAATTAGGAAGCAAAACCATGCCACGTCCTGCCAGAGCCCTGCCAGAGTTCAGCAAGTCAGTGTCTGGTACTGTCAGTGTTTCTATGCTGACTGCAAACACTGAAGCTGATGTAGTAGTGCACAGAATGTATGGCTGCAAAGATTGGGAAGGTTGTGTTTCCAAAACAAATCACCCTTTGAAAGAAAGGCAGACAACCAGAGCTCGCTGCTCACCTAATGCCATAAAGGACAATGCTCACTGTCTAATTAAGAGCTGGCCCTTTCCCAGGGTACTCCTACTCCTGTTTGCTTCCTTGCTCTGCCTCTAGCATATCACACACCCTAATAGTAGAAGCACTGCAGGCAAAGCAGAAGAGGAGGCAGTATGCTGTTAAATGTATGACCATTCTTAAAAAGCAACTGACATTGCTCTTTCCTCCTTGTTCACTTTGATCTTTAGAATTCAACAAGTGTTCTTCAGTGAATAAACAATTGTTATCTGGAAACCTTTGCATTTTATCCAGCCAGGTTCAAATACTGGCTGCTGATTTCCACCTGTAATGAAGGGGAACAACCAACATGTTTCTCTGCTATCTGTCGTTTCATTTCAGGACCTGAGTCTGCCATCTCACTTAACATCTCAGAAGTGGTTGACCGATATTTTACTTTGAGCTCATTTCCTAAACCACAAGCTTACACAGAAAGTAAAAAGAAGTCTTCCACAAGCTGATTTCTATGGCTGCGCAGAAAATGAAAAAGGAAATATCCTTCTTCCAAACAATAATTTCTGATATCATGCAAACCATTAAATGGTCAGAGGTACTAAAGAATAAAGAAAAAGCAGAACCTTTATATACGATAACGTGAAGGTATTATCACAGGCAACTGAATGTTGAAGGCTACAGTACAGTCACCTTTATAGAAAAGTCAGGTTAGCTACTGCTGCTGAGAGTTTAAGGGCCAGTTGCTTCAGTCACTAGACCTTTCCTGCAACTGCAGCCACTGCCCTTACTTCTCCAGTCTTCCTGGAAGTAGTGGAAAATGAAAGCCCAACTTCTATTGGTCCTCTTCCCAGTGATAAAACAAACCCAGACCTTCCTTGGCTTGTTCACTTTGCAACAGCAGAATTCAATGCTGCCTGAGCTACGAAACGAGGGAGGGAGGGAACACGGAGACAGGCTCTGCTATAGTATCATGGCTCTCCTTCAGATGACTCAAGACAACATGATCTGTAGCTGTTGCAGAGGAATTACTGAGAAAACTGGTAAATCTGCTGTAAATTGTAACTTGCTAATACAAGTTAGCATTGCTCATTGATAACAGAACTGAGTGTCAGGGCAACGCTGGTTGGCACCACCACCTCTTTTACCCACAAGGAGAGTTCTCTTTAAATGCTTCTAAAGACTAAAGACAGGATCAGCACCGGAAGCTTCTCACAGCACTCATTTTACTCACTGGTTGGGTTGAAGATGTAACATGGCTGTTACAAGATTAAGCTTTTATTACTGCATCTAATAAAAATAAAGCGTTTTGTCCTGTTCGTGTCGGCTTACCCAAGGGGCTAATGATAACCATCCTGAGCCACTACATCACGATTTTTGACATGATGGAACAAATCTGAGTAAGAAGATGAAAATCTACTCTCAGTTACTCCTCCTCAACTCTACTGATTAGTTGAGAAAGTCTTAAGAAAGGTCAAACATGGTGGTTCTTTCCTCTTACACTTGGACCAAGTCCTCTCTTAAGCTGTGCTTAAGATGCAGGCTCTACCATTGATATATTTTTTCATTTCTTTTACGATAAAACATAACTTATTTAACTAAAAGACATGGCACAAAGATAAACAGGACCATTCATTTGTGTAAATGGTCTTCAAAACAAGCAACAGAATATCCAATCCTATATAATTTGGTACCATAACAAAAAGATGTGTAACCTTGCATTTTTATACTTTATACAAGAACTAACAAAAAATTTCCAACAATTTTTTGTCCTATGTTAAAACTAATATATTATATTCTGGTTTCTCTGCTTTCTGAAAATCCATACCAAAACACATGCATGTACTCTGATGATTAACTGATATACTTACTTCTGTAATAGACTTGACAAAACGGATTCCATCATTAGCTCCTTTTACTTTTGCCAGACAGTCGCAGAAATAATCCCAGTAGTCTTTTCTGTTCCCCAGCAATGTGCTTTTTTCTTTCTGATCAAACTTAATCAAAGAAAACAGAAAGCAATGAGTAAAACTTAAATAGAAATATAGTTATGTCCATCTACTGTAGAGTTGTTCCTCTCCCACCACCATCTGCTTTCATGGCTCCTCTTACGTATTAGCCAACATATTCACAAAGTGAAGAGATGTTGTACTGCACTGATGCAATTACTAAATTTAGTAATTACTAAATAACCAGCAATTACTAAAAATACTTTACAGACAGCAACAGACAATCATGTCGTTGGTTAAGTTAAAATACAGACATCCATTGAACACTGCTCAAATAAAGATGAGCAGCAGTTTTAGCAGCTGTTCAGGAGCAAGGAACTGACAGCCAGTTGCTGAGACTGCTTTAATCAAGTGTGGCAGTAACACAAATGCCCTGTACCAGCACAACCTGCTCTAGCTAAATCATACTCTGAGCAGTGATGCAGTCAGGGCAGCTGACTGCAGCTTGGAGCAATCAAATCCGAAAGGATCTCTTCAGCCTCTGCTGAAGCCTCAGCAACCCAATTAAAACTATCTTGACTAGATTAAGTCTAGTTTAGCATGTCGGTGCTGCTGTCAGTGGCATGATTACAGCGTATGTATACACAGACAATGCAAACTGAATTTCAGTTTGCCCAGCAGAGTCTCCTTTCACTTAAATTTTCAGGATGGCCAAAAAGCAGCATTCCAGATTCAAGACCAGCCTCCTGCACTAAGCTTTCTATACAACAAAGATCAATTTCCACAATGAAATTGCTAAAATTGCTGTAAATTACTCTTACTGTTATATTTGCACCATCAGCTGCTTACTAGCATTTATTTTGCATTAAAATTTCATTACCATAGTTTTTTCAGGATAAATTAGAAGGGTACATCTTCAAAATCAAGCTCAAATCTTTCAGATCAATAGAAAAATGCTTTACAATCTTCATTCAACCTGCCAGCACCACCTTTTGATTACAATTATTTACTTTCACTTGAAATATGTACAATGACCTGCACACATTTCAGTCCACTTACTGGAAAAAAAAAGACTCAAATGGATACTTATGATTATTTGAGATAAACTCCACATACAGAAGAGGCAATAACAGAAAACAAGGCCTAGCTTTGACAGTGGATGAAACACATCACTTTTTACCTGTAGAAGATACTCAAGCTTGTAGGAGAATTTTTGCAAGTTGACACTGTCATCTGTGATGGGCTCCCCTCCTTCTTTAAATTCTTTACTTAATTCAGTAACAGCATCTTTAAAACAAAACACCAAAATGATCAACTAATGCTAGAGATAACATAGGACTGAATTCATGAGCAACTCAGCAAATACATTTTCTGCTTGGACATTACACATGTGTATTTAGTTTCCATCAATCTTAATCACAGTCTTAATCACAGTGCAGAAAACTTGTTGAAACGCTTGCAATTTAATACCTCCTATAACAAAAACCAGAGCTCAGGTTTCGTCAGTCTGCCATACTGAGTCATTATTTCTTCTTGAAAAGAACCTCCTCCAGACACGTATCAAAAAAGTAGTAACAGACAGTTGTTAGCTGGTTCTTCAGCAGAGGAAGGAGAAATATTTTTTTGACTGTCTCATGCACATTATGGTTTTCCTATTGCCACAGGACAAACAGAATTCTGATTAGAAAGGACAAAGCATGTAATCTGCTAAAGGGGATCAGTAAAACGGTAACAGTTGTTCAGTCAGCACATTTATCTTCTCCGTGCTTTATTCAGGAAGGTTCAGCTTGTGCTGCTCACAAAACACAAATGGGAAAATAATGTACATAAAAATAAGGATACAACAACTCCTCTTACCTAAAACCTGCTCCCACAGAGGGTGAGCAAAACTCAAGTCAAAGCCAACTCTGCTGTGTCTGGCCACCAAAGCATGCATTTCTCAGCATCAGAAATTAATGATTTTGAATGAGCTTTCCACTGGGTTTTGTATTTCTTTCAGGTGCCTGAGTGAGCCTTAGCTCCCAGTCACGCTCGATCCCCTTTGCAAATTAGTATCTCTTCCTTTTAACAGGCACATAGATTTTCTTACCTACAGGAAGATCTAGATTCCTAGCTTTGGTGCATATTATACTTTACATTTAATAAATATGAAAAGGATAAATATCTGGATCTTGGTATAGGCAGCTGATTAGGACAGAGAAAGAGAAGAAAAATGGTTATGGATCTGCTGCCAGTTCTGCCTGCTGCAGAAGTGAAAATGAAAAATGAAATTGGCTACTGCTGGTGGAGGACAAGTCAGATGCACAGAAAGCTTGTTCCACTGCAGCAAGAAGAGCAGATCCAATTGTCCAGCACTCTCCTTCTGGGTCTCCATTCCTAGTTTGGGTTATCTCATGTTTTTTTTTCGTTTTTTTTTTTTTTTCTCCATATTAGGAGTAGGTCTAAATACCAGCCCTTCTCCTTCTCACAAGAAATCTTATAACTGCATAGCTCTACTCATGCAAGCAAAGCCCTAACTCACATCACACAAAATAATAATTTTAATTTCACCCTTCAGACATTTCTTTTTTTAATCGTAAGGCTTATTTGTAATAGTGCATGTTTAAATATGCAGGATTTCAGAATTTAGGAATCTGATTTTTTTTTTTCACAAAGAAGTCACATCTATATTAGCAGGTGGCACACCTTGAACTATGTTGTTAGAATTGCTGCACAGAAGTGTCATGCAACTTGAAATACAGTTCCTACTCTCTGCTACCTAAAGCAAGAAGGATGCAATCCAGCATATAGAACAAATCTGTCAGCATGCTACCTTGCAAGTCCCTGATAATCCGCTGCAGCTGGTTTTCACCACCATGTTGCTGCCATCTTGAAAACCAAAGTAGCTCCCCTTCTGGGCTGTTAACCTTTTCATCCATCTAGATAACAACAGCAGAGTCCATATCCTCGATGACCACTGGGCTGATGAAGGTTATTCTTCTCTGTGACACTTGCAGCTCTGTAAAAGTCAAAAATAGAACACAACTCTTTATCATCTCAAATGAGCATAACAGAGGTGCTTCGGCATTTTAAGTCCTGGTTAGTAATGAATCCTCACATTGCCAACTCTTTTCCAGAACCCTCCTTTCTGTTTCCTTCTACATTTCGCTTTTCATTTCAGTTATTTCTGTTTCCACCTCTCAGAACTACTGAGCAAACCCCAGAGGGCAGTTTTCCCTCGTTGGCGTTACGACACAGTTAGTCTCACAGTCCAGCTCGGGCTGGCATTTCACACAGCTCATCTCATGACCTGATGGAGGTTCTGATGACACAGGACTTTCCCTACGAAAACCCTCTGCCCGACCTTCCCTAGAGCCTGCAGAGTAAAAAGATACAACATCACCATTTCAGGGAGACTTTCAAGGCACAGCCTAGTCACGGGTCAAGGTGTCCAGAAGTGATACGTGCTTGATCCGCTGGCGTTAGAGGATGTTTTTTACTCGTAAGAGCTAGCAAAAGATTTAGCGCTTGAGATTGGTTTTAGCATGAGAAACATCTTTCATTCCTCCTCAGAACGCCCTGTTCCCAGTACATGAAAGAGGATACCGCTCCGCTTTATTTTAAGCTGTGACAGCGTTCCTGGCCGGGTAAATGTACCTTGCACATCAGAACATCCACCTCCCCTGCTCAAAACAATGACAAGTAAGCTGTACCTAGCACTTGTGAAGAATTACTCATTCATTAACGAAAATAAATGAATTAAAGATCAACTAAAAGCCTTAAGTGCTTTATTAACACAACCATGCCTGGTGATCCGAACTTCCAAACACTCATGGGAACAATAACTCAAAAAAGCCACATGGAAACTGCACGGGAAACTTTCCAAGCATCTTGTCCTCAAAGGTCGTGCCCAATTCTGCTGCAATGGCACAGCCAAATTTTCAAGCAAGCCTCACGCCTGAAGTACTGAGCCTATAGACAATTTCCTGCTACCTTTCTGTGCTGGTGTTGTCATTCAAACTGAGCTACAATGAAATTAAATTCCAATTAAAAATTAAATTCAAATTAAAAATTAAATTAAAATCTGACAAGCTTTTGAAATGCAAATGGGACTAGATCAAATAATCATATTTCCTCTCCCTTCCCTTTCTTACACCTCCAAATTAATTAAAATGGCATTGCTCAGGTAGGTGTCTAGATGGATCCAGCGAATCATCCCTCCACCCCGTGCATCGAGGTATCATTTGGAAACAACCCTGAGGCGACCCTGCATTTTTTTCTTTTTGATACGAGGTAGAGGTGGTTCAGAGCAAACCTTAAAGCGAGACAGAAACATGGTAAATATAAAATAAAAATATGCTTCTTGGTGTGTTTCTCTTAATACCTGTGCTTTGCTACCTGCTGGTTTCATTGCCATATTTCCATGGCAGTCGTTATGTTAGGACACGCCATCGTGGGGACGATGTGCTGCCTGGGAAGGAACTTGGACAGCCACATCCCCACCACAGCCGTGCTGCTTTAGGGAGAGAAGGCCAGCACAGCGTGGTCCTGCTGACCTCTTTTCAACGCACCAGACGCTTCTGGCCAGCCTTGGCAGAAGGTAGAAATCTTCCGAATACTGTGCTCTTCCACGTGCAATCAAAAGGGGTTGCCAAACACAATTTTCTCACTGTAAATCAACAATATCACGTACACGATATTCCTATCTTGGTTCTACTCGGTGACTGCACAGCCCCCATTTCCTGGTAACCTGAGTTTGGATACTGACGAGAAGAAGCAGTAACAGAGCAGTGAGTCAACGTTTCCTCTTCTAAGAACGCACAGCAGTACCAGCCCTATCTGTTCAGCCTGGCAACCGCTACCCAAAGGTACGAAGAGCAGACTGGCAAGCCAAAACACACACGGCCAACCCAAACGCCCCCAAACACACACGGCCAACCCAAACGCCCCCAAACACAACGGGAAAAATAAGCCAAGGGTCCCGCTCGTCCCTCCTGAAGGGCAGAACGAGCCCTGGTGCCAGGCTCCTGAGGCATGAGGCATGCCAGGAGAGCTGCAGGTGGCAGAGGTGGGATGCTGATGTTGGGCCCACATTTACCAGTGGTGATGGGGATCTTTCAGCCTGGTTACGGCACTTTTCTACCTGCCTTCTGCACTGCCAGTCCGTGGTCCTTCCAGGGACGTGCCTAGAAAACACAACACGTCCCACACCACAGGAGGGTGCAGAGCTCTCACCTCCTCCTGGCAAAGAACCCGGGCGACGCACCTGTACTGGTTTCCTGAGCTCGCAGAGTAGGAAGAGCTTCTGCAAACACCTGATCTAGTCCTTCCTGACCACAGATACTTTGCTCAGGATTGTTTAGGGCACGACCCTGCCCCTCAAAGCGTTTCCTCTCCTATTGTGTGTGTCTGTAATTACCTGCCTTGTCTGAGCAGCACCATACATGTGTGAGGCACAAGCGACCTGCTTTGGGTCAAAAGCTTTTTAGGTGATGCATCACAACCTCTTGTGTAACAGCATTTGACTACAAGCGAAAAGCAAGACATGACACAGCAGCAGTCCCACAGGCTGTGCCTGCTGGTGGCTGAAGATAGCTCTTCCCTCTCCTGCTGGTTTAAATACCCACGTGTGGGTGAGAATCTTCTTTGTGGGGGAGGCTATCCTGGAGATTAAGGAAGGAAGCAGAAAGGAAACAGCCCACTCACAAGAAAGGACTTAGCTGACAGTGAGTGGGACGCAGAAGAAACAGCAAGCTAAACTTACTGGCTGTAATTATCCTGTGTCGTGGGGCGGCTACAGTGACCTACTTTCACTCTGATTTCATAAAGTCTCTCTCTGTGTTACTGTGGGCACGTCCGCACCTCCAGCAGCTACAATTTTTCAAATCGACTGGCCGATTTCAGCAAACCTTGGCAGAAGTCTTCAAAATATTGTGCTCTTCCACGTGCAATCGAAACGGGAACGCGTGCTGAACTTCATGAGCAGTTTCTCTTCCCTGACCAAAAGGCTGCAGACAGACCTTGGCTGCAGCCTGACAGCAGCCTGGCTGCACCCCTCAGCCAGGGGCCTTCTCAGCACACACCAAGAGCAGAGCTCACACTGCAGACCTGGGGTGATCCTGCTGGAAAATAAATCAGATCTGCAGGACAAATTCAGTGGAAACCAAGTCCTTAAACTGCTTGCAGAAATGCTTTATCTTAACACAACTTTTCTGCTCTAGCCACCCCAAACATGGGCACGTCGCCACGTCTCCCTTACAGAGAGGGATCTCCCGTACAGCGATCACAAGACCTTTAGTCATCTGCAATTCTATACCTGCTCTGCATCAACGCTCTGCATGAAACAAAACAGGCAAGCGAGGATGCCTGAGCCAAATCCCATGTCCATGAGTCACATTAATTTTACCTCTATTGCTCCCTTGTGTAGTGTGAAGGTGATTTGTCCCATAAACGCGGATGCTGACCGATGGTTGTGAGGGACAATTCTAGAATGTGACATAGAAAACCAACCCACCTGGGCACACAGTGGCTACAAGACACATGGAGAGAGGAACACACAGCAAATCTCACAGCAAAGACGAAAGAAGAACTGGGAAAAGAGAGTCTACCTCCCAGGACCGCAATACCACCGATTTAGTTTACAAAAATCATCCCAATAATTGTCTGAAAAAAGCACTTTGTACTTAGATATTGCAAGAAACAGAGTCCCAGTGGATTTTTCTGTAGCTGTGCCGCTAGCTTTTCCTCATCTGGCAGCATTCAGGCACCTGCACATCCATTACGTTAAGCTGAAAAACCCTTTGCTGCAAAGAAGGGTCTGAAGTGAGTGGCAAATTTGAGAATGCATAAATGCAGCTCTGCTGGGCAGCTCAACCCTCCGTGCTTCCACACTGCAATAAAGGCATGTGAGGGACCGATGGGCTGCACGGGATCAGACAACTGACAACAAAAGACAGGCGAAGCGTGAAGGTCAGCCAGGGTTTCCATCCTGAGGTTGGAAGCTCAGCTCCCCTCTGAGAAGTGAAATTTTCTTGCCGAGTGAATCTTCCCCCTTCGCTTTCTACACCAACAAACCTTCACATTTCAATTACAAAAACACATTTTGAATTTTGTTTTGTTTTGTTTTGTTTTTAACTTCTTTTAATACTTCAAACAGGTAGCAGAAGAATACGCTGCAAACATACATAGGCTTCCCACCCCCTGACACCACTACTCACGAAAACCTTGTTTTGAAGTGTCTGGGCATATAAACATTTAGTAATAAAATGCATCTTGCAGAAAACACATGTCTAGAAAAAAAATTAAAACCAAAGAGTGTCACAGCACTGGGGAACACAGTTAACGAGGTGAAGTGCACAAAAACGTTCACGTCTTTTAGAAAAGCAGCATGTTTAGAGATAGGGGTTCCTTACAGTAAAGCCCTTTTGTGCATCGGTCCTTGAGCTCTACAGATATTTTTAATGGTGTTTTCAGCCCAAGAATACGAATTAATGACATTCCTAAAATACTGCTTGCAACCCTAACCTGACTGTCACAAATGAGTTGGTGAAGTTTTGCAGCCTCTGTGTGCAACTTCACTGTGTGCTATGGGCAGCTGGCCTGCATCCTCCCCCTATTTCATTCCTTGTATTTGACAACTGTTCTTAGAAAAAGGCCCAAACCAAGCAGCAGATAAGGGTATACAATGGCCTGATAAGAACTCCATCAGACAGAGCTGATTTTAACCCTCTGTGGGGAAAGCTAGCAACCCTAACAACTTTTTTTCATGCTGCACCTACTGAATCAGGCCTCCACTTCAAGGCCCGACTTAAACCTGGTGAAAAGATCACATCAAACACTGGCCAAACAGGACGGATGGATTTAATTTTTTAAAAATATTTCTTAATTTGGAGAATACAGTGTTGTCTCTGCTACTCCTCACGTTGATAACGAGCAACGTGAACGCAAATCACCTCTTTCGGCAGCCAGCAAACAAGGATGCGCTTGTATTTATCCCACAAAGACAAGCCTGTGTCTGCCTCGTCCCATGACACAGAAGCCGTCTGTTTGAGGAAGCAGTCAGTTCACAAAGAGAAGAGTGCTCCCCTGATAACAGGAATTGCACCAGTATCGCTCTTACCTCCTCTGCCCGTATTGCCTAGGGCATGCCACACCTCACCCCACGTCAGGAGAGCTACGCAGTGCTTACTGGAATCTACGAGCTAACCTATTTTAATAAATACCAAATATCAAACTATAATTTTGAGAATAATACCAGATTAATCTCCCAGAGACTTGCTTCTCCTCAGCTGCTCCAACCCAGTTTCACTCCCCATGGGGAACCGCACCCTGCCCAGCACAAGTGGAGAGTCAAAAAGACAGGTGTCAGTCAAAAATTAAAATATTTTTTCCCCTTTGCACCCTCTTTCTTCCAAGCCACCTTCCCCATGAACCCATGTACCCTCCCTGCTACACAACCTGCCCTTCCTCCCTGTAACACACCCAACTATTTACATCTCTCTTACATATTCTTCACATGCTTGGACGCTACTCTGTGGAGCATCATAAAGATACCTGTAAAAATAGAAAGAGTAGAGGCCTCCCAGCTGCAAAGTACTGATAGTGATTTATGATGCTCAACTTGCTTGCTGTAGGAGCTTAGGATCTTCCAAAAATCTCTTGTTTTTCAGGTCTCCCAAGCTGGTCTCTGAGAAATGGGTGCAGTTTCAATTTCCACAGCAAGCTTGACCTGACTAACGCATCATCTCAGGCACCTCTCAGGCTTGGGGATAGCTAAAAGCAACAACCTTCACACCACAGCTCTGAAATGCCTCCATTCAAACAGGGGCTTTCCTCTCAGCAGGATTTTTTACCTCTGTGTCTATTGTTCCTCCAAGCAGAGATTTCAGAAGTGCTTCCAAAGGCTGCCTCCAACTAATCGCTGTGGGAAGCCTGGCGGGTGGGTGCTGCAAGTTGCCCGTGTGTAGCGCTCCATCTGCCCTCCATCCAGCCAACAGCAGCGGGGGCTCCCCAGGGCAACTCCTGACCTATTTGTAGGTCCCAGTGTGAACAAGCAACAAGCAGCACTGAAAATTACAGGTTCTGGCCGCACAATTGCAGATTAAATAAGAGGCAAGCCCATTAAGCAAACCCAGCTGAGACAACCCAGGCTGACTGAGTGAATCATGCCACCCCGGGGCCCATAGCAGAAAATCCTGTTTCCTTCCCTCTGCAGCAGGAAGCATTTCCTTTTCGCCCTGTAATGGTGTCCATCTGGGGAGAAGGGAGAATTTCAGAGTTACAAACCCCAAAGATTTAGGAAGCCTTTAGAAGAGGAGCCCGTACACCAGTGCTGCCTATCTGCCTGCTGGGGACAGACAGGCTCACAGATGACACAGGCTGGGCTCGAGCCCAGTAATTTGGGGATTGCCTGATCCAACACACTCACTTTGAAAACCCAAGCTGGCTTGCAGCAGCAGCAGGACCGTCCCCCCTCCCAGCAGTAAATTAAATGTCATGATAGACACGCTTGCGGATTAACTGTTTACAAATATCCTGCTTAGACCACGATACCACCAGCAACCACAGAACACTGTGGTGGACAAAAATATTAAAGCAGAGGGAAGGATGTATGAGTTAAGGCCCTGTGCAGGTTTCACAAGGTTTCCTTGCACTATGAGACAGAGACCGTGTATATAAAGGCTTCTTACAAAATGTGATGCCTTCTTCTGAACACATTTGGATAGCATACTACAAATTATTATTAATATGGCACTTTTGGACACAACCAACCACCACTCCCTGAACAAATTGGAATTACTACAGGCAAATATGAAAAGGATTCAGACTAGATTCACACTGAAAAAAAAAAAAAAGCCTTTGAACTAGTAAAACCAAATATAAACTTAGTACGTAAATAAATAAGAATAATAATGTGTCATAATAAAACCACCCAGGGCTCTTACAATTCCCTCTAGTTCAGTAATCCAAACAGCACCTAACGAACACCAGCAGGGCTCAGTGTTTGTTTCACAAATGGGCAACTGTAACTTTTAAATGTGATCTACTAAGAAAAACAAACAACCCAAGCTAAAAATAATTTTCAGCACTGCTTTTCCTTAAGTTCAGTCTGATAATTTCTGCAATTTCACAAGCAAACGCTTTTAAACATATATTTTAATAGTGTTCTTCCCCACTGACGGAGCCTTAGCAGACCTGGCCTTCAGGACATGAGGACAAATTGCCCTTCCTCTTCTGTAACCGTCCAGCAGCGGGGAGAGGAACTGCAGATATAATACACCCTTTCACTATTGTCAGCTGGTGCACAAAAGAGGTTCCTGTACACAAGAAAATAGGCTGCGTAACTAATTGACTGGCTCTTCAGAAGTACCCAAACCACCCACGTTCACACAAAAGGCTGGCAAATGTACATAAACTACAGCAAGAAGAAAAGTAAAACCAGCTTGCACTTGTTTTTCACCGTAGGTGGCTTCGGTACAACTTTCTAACAGCAGTGCAGCCTTCTGCACACAAATGTTTGGAAACATGACCAGGAACATCTGGAACATTGAAATTTAAGCACTCCCAGGAGGATCCCTGGAGGACTTTAAGAAACTGCCTCGTACACAATGTGTGGAAAACCAAAACCACACCACCGCAGGGCAGTTTTGTCTCCTCTGCTGCACCTCCAGCACTGAAAACAGACACACCAGCAGCGCGCACGTCGCCATGTTGCTGACAAGCCCACGCCGTGCCCTGCGCGTTTAATCACAGTAAACACCCGCTCTCGCTCTTCAGAAGCAGAAAGATAAAAGGCCTGGGATTCCTCCTCCTCCTGTTTACACTCGAGAAGCAGCTCGGTGCACAGGGAGAGGCCGAACCCTGAGCATGACCCCACTCCACACGCCAAACCAGCCTTTGCGCTGGCAAAACTCAGCAGGCAGCTCGGCACGGGGACACCCCACGGGACAAGCAACCAGGACCCCAAATTCCTCCACAAGCAGCTGAAGGGGTCTGCCAGCCTCTAGGCTGGGGCACAGACCCCATACAGAGCAACCGAGGACCGCGGGACGTCTACCTGAGGAGCCCACCATTTGACGCGAGCCTTCCCCAAAGCCCACCGCTCGCTGCATGTGGCAGGGGCGCGATGTGTGCCGGAGGGGTGCTCTGGAGACAAGAGCCAGCAAAACTAAACACCCTCCCTGTCATCTGCCAGAGATTTGCCGACACAAGGGCAATAGGGATTAGGGCGGGGGGGGGGGAGAAATATGTGTCTCTGTCAGCACTTTGGTAGCGCAGCCGGCGTTTGGCTCTCGGGGAGCAGCAATGAAGGACAAGGGGGGATCGGGTGGGTTTGCTCGGGGTGCGGGGAAAAGCTCCGTGTTTATGGTGGCAGACAGCCACCACACCTCGAAGGGGGACAGCGAGGACAAGGACAGCACCCCCAGCACCCGTGCCTGCATGCTCAGCCCCCCCATGCCCGTGTGCGGGCACAGCCGCCCCCCGAGCCCACCCCACCGCCCCCAGCCCCGGCAGCCACCGAGGCGCCGCATCGCGGCTCCTCCCCTCGGGGCCGGGCCTCCTGCGGCAACAAGTGGGCGCCGCCGGAGTTTCCTTCCCCGTCCCCGTCCCCGTCCCTGTCCCTGTCCCCGCAGCCGCCGCTGCCTCTTCCCCGCCGCCGGTACCTGCGCGGCGGCCGCCATGTCGCGGCCGGGCCGCCCCGGGGACAGGCTCCGGCCCCGCTCGCCGCCGCCTACAAGTCCCGTGAGGCTGCGGCGGCACCGGGACGGGGCCTGGCCGGAGAGGAGGAGGAGGAGGAGGAGGAGGAGGAGGGGAAGGAGGAGGAGGAGGAGGCTCGGGAGAGGCCAACAGTGTGAAAATGGAGGGGTTTAGAGCGTGTCCCGGGGGGGTTATCGGCGCTGTCCGCAGCGGCTGCAGGCTGCGGGTGGTGTCTGGTACTGCCAAGAAAGTCGCCTGTCGAGAAGTGTAATTTGTACAAAGTATTCACTGTCGCCTTTACTACAGCTGCAGTATTTTTGGTTGTTTGTGTATGCAGTTTGTCTGAGTCAGTACCAGTTCATCGTGGGCTTTGCACGGACGGCTGAAGTGGATCTGAAAGTCGTGCTCAATAAAGCCAGCAAGCAGCAGATTTCCCCTTTCTGGCCCTGCTGAGGACACAAAAACACTTCCCACAGCTATAAGGTGTAGGAGGCCTCGTAGCGTAAGAGACTGGGAGAACATGGCTGTGAAACTGGAACCTAAGATCACTTCCTAACGTGGTGCTTCCACACCTCATCGCCCAGCATAAGCTTCATCCACAACCAGTCCATTGCTACTCTTTGTTTTTTGTTGTTGTTCAAACTTGCACCCTTCACTAACCCGTGATTCTCTGAAAAGTTTCTTTCACAGTGTCTGAAGCTGGCTACAGGGCTACAGTGTTTTTGTATTTGAAAGGTACTGGAAAATAAGTTATTTTCCTTTTTTTTTTTTTATTATTATTATTATTTTTTTTTTCATTATCGTCTTGATAAATAAACGACGTTAAATAAAACTTGTGATCAAACAGTTTGTCATCAATTCTTGCCACAGCACTTGTGATTATATTAATGTCATAAACTGTAGCTTTGGCAGCCGTACAATCAAAGCATCCTATTTTCAAGACTGTAAGGAAATACATGGTGGATGTAGTCACTGACATGCCTCCATCCTTCTCATTTTTTTTCATCCTCAACCTAAGGATGACTAAGTGACCTTGAAGTTTTGGTGAATAGCCTTCACCTAAAGTATGAATTTGAAAAGCTTGAAAACATTTTAACGTCCTCAGAAATGCAGGTTATGGGGCTAAGCATGTTTTGGGGACATGACTCATGAAATGCAATGGGATGTTTTACATTGCTCTGAAGCAACATTCAGGCTGACTTCTCAGCATGCTTTGCCGTGTCATGCCGTATACAACCAGGAACATCTGTTGAAAACTAATATTTGTTTTCCATTGATCAGCAGGCAACTGGGTCTTCCAAAAGTAACCTCAGAATTATTTGTTGCAAATAACAATTAATCAGATCCCAGATAATTTCAGTGCAGTGGAAGTTTTACATATTTTCAAAAAATCTGTGTGTAGTATAATTTCTCACATATAAAGAAGTAGAATGGATCGCTCCTGCTTTTTAATTATGTAGTGGCAAGCTACTTTGAGAAGTATTTAATTATTAACATTACTTACTGAATTACGATCTGTTTATACAGACATCAGTGTCTATGGAGAAAAGCACCCTGTTTCCAACAAAGTCCATGGCTGACCAACACTTCCTTAGGATTTTCTGCATATTCTAATTTCTTAGCAACAAACGGGTTTCAAGTTTTTTGATTATTGGAAGCCTCCCCAGAAAAATAAATGTATTTTCTGCTCAATTTATGTAGTTTATTTTTATTTTGAGAAAATCTATAGATTAACTTCTTCATAAACTATGATGAGCTGGATGGGAATTATTGTCAATTTTACTGTCCCAGGAAAGGTCATGTCAGTCACAGCAGCAAATGGAAAACCTTTGCTGGGAAATATTTTTTGACTAGTTGTTGGAATGCTATGAAAGTAATTGTAAATATACTCCATAAAGGTACATAACTCAGTAATTAAGGATCATGAAGCAATCATGCTGTATCCTTTAGGTTCTGTTCCATATGGCTGAAACATAGGCCAAAATAACTATGTAAAGGCTAAAATCAACTGCTGACATTGAAAGTGGAGCTTAGATCTAATGCTAGCTGCAATTCTTTTACACAGAGTGATTCTGCAAACACAATTTGAGCATGATTTTTAATTTTTGTTTTTGGTGTCACTGGAAGCCATTTCTGTACATGATTTGCAAATAAATGTAGCTGCCTTTGGTTTTAATGGTGCATAAATTTGCATAAAGGTGCTCTTTTTATGTGGGAAGAGTTTCCTCTATTGAGGCAAGCCAATTCACACTGTCTAGCTCATCATAACGTCAAATTACACACTGTCATCAATCATGTCATGCTGACAGCAGTTTGGTGCCTTGTTGGCTAGAGGAGATCTTTATTAAACCCTGTTAACTAACTGGGCTCCATCAGACAACCAGAAAAAATGTTTCCTGTGGCTATTATATTCTGCGAATACTTCATAGTGGTCTCTGAGTATGTTTGCAGAAAGCATCTGTCCATCTTTCTGAGATTACTGTTGTATGTGCTACATGTTCATATTATTTTTAAAGCATTAATTGATATGTAATAACTGGGGAGGGTTTTGCTTCCACTAGGCACTTGAGGTATTTCATGAGGGTAACAAGTTCCCAGCTTCCCTGGTCACCCTCAGCGGATTAACATACCATTGTAGCTAGGCTGAACAACACACTGCTGTTCATCATCAGAGACTTTCTGTGGCTGCAGGGAGAAAGCTTTGGAAGCTCTTTTTTGCATTTGTTTGCATTTTGCTTTGCGTTCCATTTTGAATAGGTGGACAAAGAGAAAATGATTATAAATAGGTGTCAAGATAGGAAACGGCAAAATAAAAACAGCAGAGCTCTGGAAAACTTCTGCAAGCATATTTGGCATTTTGGACAAGGTGGCTGAGGGACTTGGAAGAATACTCTGCTTATATCAGTTGAGTTTCTGAGCCTGCCACCTGGCACATTGGAATTAGGAGCTATCGCTGCTCAGAACTGGCTGCACTTCACCCCCGGGTAAATAAAGTGAGGTACCAAGATTTTGAATTGATTTAGTGCTGGCTCAGCTGAATCAACAATGGTACAGAAGAGCCAGGACACAGACTTTGGACTGTGCACTTTAAATGAACTAGAGTCTTCTGCCCACGTTTAGATGTGTGGCCCATGGATAAAGAGCATACTAAGGCTTTGGACATTAAGAGCTGGTTAAGATGTCTGGAAGGATGCAGCCATCAAGAAGCAGAACTTAATCTCAGAAAGCAGCATTATTTGGAGGACAAAAACAAAAGTATTTTGGATTTTATATCTCAAAAATTCCTCAACATGGAGTGAGTACTCCACTCCCAGAACTCTTCTCTGTCATTTTCAGTTCTTTGCTTCATTCCAGCAGGGTCTCCAGTCTTAAACTGCTCTTCTGATTTCAAACCAAATATACAGATATTGTCTGGACATTTATAGAGCCAAAAGCTCCTGTCTAAAAAAGCCCATGATCTGTCAGAAGGGGCTGGCTTCCTTTCAGATCTCTGCCTTTCATAGCTACCTATCAAACCTTTGCAGTAAAGCATACTGGTCCTATATGCAGCAGGAATTTCTTGTTTACATGCCCATGAATGAATAAGACCTTTAAAGAAATGAAATGAAAAAGACCTTTAAATGAAATGAAATGAAATGAAAAAGAACTTTAAGTAGCACTTTTTTTTTTTTTTTTTTTTTTTTTTTTTTTTTTTTTTTACAGGCATAATCTCAGCTAGGAAATCAGTCACTTCCATGACATATTAATTGCACAGGTCAGTGGAGGCTTTGGACAATAAAACCGAACTTTTCAGTTTTGAGTTTTGTATTCAGTTACCTAGAAAATGCTGTTGTTCAGGCTGAATCCTACTCTAAAACGAATTTTCAGTAACTTTTGCTTGGTTTAACGTTTCTCCAGCAGCAAATTATAAGACCATAGAGTAGTTTAGGTGTGAAGGGACCTCTTGAGGTCTCTAGTCCATCTTCTTGCTCAAAGCCTATGTAATCACATGATGGTCCGCAAGGCTGTGTCCAGTCAACTCTTGAACACCTCCAAGGACAGAGATCCCACCACCTTTCTGAGTCTCTGTTACAGTGTTTGACTACACTTGTAGAGAAAAAAGATGCTTATAACTAACGGGAATATGCCAGGTACCAGTTTAACTCTGTTGCTTTTCAATCCCATTGTCATGAAGCATTGTTATGAAGCAATCCCATTGTTATCTTCAAGAAGAATCTGGCTCCATCTTCTCTGTATCCTCCAGTCAGGAAGCTGCAGACACCGTGTGCTGTTCCCTGAGCCTCCTCTTCCTAAGGCCAGATGAACTCAGCTCCCTCAGCCTCTCCCTGTCCATCACATGCTGCAACCCCCAAGTAGCTTGGTGGCCTTCAGCAGACTGCCTCCAATATGTCTATGACCTGGTGTTCCACCCCTTTTCAGATTAATTAAGAAATGAATAATCATCTTGTTTGCAAAACTCGAATAGTTTTCTGTGTGGTTAGCTTTACCAGGTTCTATAGTCTTTCACCACTAACAATCCTACGTGAAGAAGGTGAAATGCAGAGAAAGACTGCTAGTGGCAGTCCCTTCCCATGCGTAATTGCTGTGAGATGACTTCAGTGTTCATCGTGTTTTTAACGTGGTTAGGATTCTTTATGTGAATACATGGGCCTGTGGCTCACTAATATTTGGTCTGTTTAGCAGCGGGTGAGTTCATCTCAAGAACGGCTCTGTGCTGGTACGTGAAGTACTGGTGGTTACGTTCCTCTTTTATGGTGATGCACAACTAGTCTCCATAGGTCATCTTTACTGGTACTTCTTATGGTCTATTCTCGTTTTGACTGACAGCAAGCTTACACTAATTTCCTTTCTGATTTTTGTACTTGCTTTAGTTTTGCTTCCTGAAGAACACACAGGCATCTGATTGGTATAGAAAGCATTAGTCAAACTTCTCTCCATTTAACACAGGGCCTTCCCCTTTCGACACTGGATGAGCAAGAGCATTTCAAACTGCTGAGTAACCATAAGAAAAAGACAAAATAGAATTTTATTGATGATTTTAATAGCACTGTTGGTGCTTTCAAAATACTGAGTTATAGAAGGAGGTATCTTTGTTCCTGATCA